ACCTACACAGATGTAAGATCCAGTCACTGCACAGTGCAGCTTCTGCTGTGTGCATCCTACCAGTAAACAGTCTCCTCTGTTGTTGCAATACTTGTGTGTTTTAACACTTGTGCCAGCTGTCTGGGGTTTTTTCCATCCACCAGAGCAGGTTTCCATAAGAGGAGGAGAGTTATCTTAGATTCCAGTCAACAGTATTATATTACATCTCCCAGAGGATGGGTTCCACACAGACAGAAGGATGAAAAACACACACAGCTGGACTAGGGAAGGAGAGGATCTCTTTTCTTAAAATTAGCAACTCTGATACTCTCAGCTTCTACAGCTGTACAGTTCTTTAACCCCTCCAAAGTGAAAAAGAAGATAGAGGATGCAATACTTAAGACTATGAACACATAAATATTTCAAATCACATTCTCTCATGCAAGGTCATCCTCACCATAGAGGAAAAGAGGTAAGAGAGGTAACCTACACTTATTCTTCTTGCATAAGCATCAGGACTGGCCTCATGACTTAAAGGAGATTTTCACTTTGCAAAATGTGTCAAGTTTATCACTTTAAGACAAAGCATTGCTCAGCCAGATGTCTACCAGCAAAAGATCACTCACCTAAACGAAATTCAAATAAGTAACTTAAAGCTGCCTTTGGGAATTGCCTGCACTGCAGTTGCTCTTGTGACTGCAGTATCATAAAAAAACCATAAACTGACTAACCTGACCAGCAACAAACATGCAAATCTAAAGTATGCTCAGTTACAATATAAATATATTGCATGGCTCAAATTATAACCTTCCTAGTTAACAAACAATCTGGGTCAGAGAATCCACAGACTTTTTACAATTTATCTTAATAATTGTACATAAAAAAAACCCCAACCAGCCCACCGCATACATACCAACTGCAGTGAAGCCTAAGCCATGACCTTATAGCAAACAGAAAGAACAGAAAAACAACTCAACTTCAATTAAACCTGAGCACCTAGTTTTCATACATATTGCTAAACATAACATTTAAGTTTTCTGGTTTGATTTCAGCAATTATGCTTTTTAAAACAGGACTTTTTCTAAAGTGATAAAGTTTACACTGAAATAAGAGAGAATAGTACCTTCCAGTCTTTGAATTTTAGCTTTCACAGAAATAACTGTTTCAAAGGGGGAAACTCGCAGTTCAAAGCAGGTTCCTGTAAGCGTTTCAATGAAGAGCTCCATAGTTTCATAGAAAGGAAGTTTGTAGTGAAATGGTCCCATATTATCTTTATTAAAAAAAGGAGGCTCTTTCTTGTTGGCCATTAGAACGGATTTACAACTTCCTTGTAAGAAGATCTGTCAGGAAACTACATTCCACTTCTAGCCAAGGCAGCTTTGAAGACACGTGTAGTGCATTGCTGTTCATCTTTAGGATTTTTCACCTATAAAGCAAACAAATATAGTTCTGACAACATCTAAACGTAACTGCTAAAGATAATTTAAATTCATTTTGTCTAAAATGGACGTTAAGAAACATGAAGTTATTACCTAGGCAGGGCAAGATAACCTCAAATTATATTACCAACATTGTAGTTTTAGGGCTCTAGTTCCAGTCAGCATTCCAGACGCAACCCACTACCTTTGTTATTTTTGTTTCCACAAGCGACGTGACAACCAGACGCCCAATGCCTCCTGACAAGAGCTGAGCCCTCCGCAGTGTCAGAGCTCGAGCAGAACTCCAGCAAGGCGTAGGAACAGGGACTGCCCCGGCCTCAGGAAAGGCAGTTGGCGGCGGCAGCTCGGCCGTGCCAGCGGCGTCCATCGCCGCAGCGGAGCAGGGCCGGGCCCCGGCAGCCGAGCGGAGCGCCGGCGAACAAAGGACGGCGAGCAGCTGCCGAGCCCCGCCGCGCCTCGGGGCGGCCTCGCACGCCGGGCTGGCCGCGGGCCCGGCCACCGCTGCCCCGGCCCCGCTTCCTCCCGGGACGCACGCCCCGCCGGCGGGGCCGGGCCCGGGGCGCTTCGAGCACGGCCCCCTGCCCCGCCGCCGCAGGGTCCCCGCAGCGGCGGCGCTCCAGAGGGCCCGGAACCCGCCGAGCGAAGGTGGGTCTCACCTCACCTGCCACCGCCGGGCCCGCTCGGGGGGAGACGCGGTTCCTCTCCTCCCGCGCCGCCCCGCCCGCCGCAGCTGCCGGAGCCGGCCGGGCCCGGCGGGACGCTCGGTCCGGGAGCGCAGCCGGAGCCGCCGGGGGCACGACTGGGAGGAGCCGCCCGGCAGCCCCCGCGCCGCCCCGCCCTGTGACAGCTCCTCCCGCGGACCAATGGGACGGCGGCTCTCACGAACCTCGGCCAATCAGCGCCCGCAGGGGGCGGGGCTCGCGGCGCCTCAGGGGCGGGCGCCCGCCGGGCCGCTTGTTGTGGTCGTTAAGACGCGGGGCGGCAGCGCGTGCGCAGGGAAGGACCCGGATCCACTTCCCCATCGCCAGCAGTGTTGAAGGCCAGGCTGGACGGGGGCTCGGGCAGCCCGCTCCGGTGGGAGGTGTCCCTGGTCAAGGCCGGGGGGAACGGGATCGGCCTTCAGGTCCCTTCCGCCCCAAACCGCTCCGTGAGTCTGTGCAACGCCCCCAGCGCTACCGGTGGACACGTGATAGCGGCGGGGGCCGCGCTGCCCTCTGGGACACGGAGTGCGGCGGCGCCGGGAGGCGGCCCGGGCAGGTCAAGGCTAAGGTGGCTCCGGCGGCCTCGGCTCAGGGCCGAGCCGCAGAGGCAGCAGCGAGCCCTTGCGCTCCGGCCGAGCGGCTCCCAGCCATTGCCGCTGTGTCGGAGCGCAGCGCTGGCGCCGGGCGGCAGGGACGGGGCCGACTCCCAGCCCGGGCAGCCGCCCCGCTGCTCCCAGCCAGGACACGAACACTGCTCCGGCAGGGCCAGGCACTGCTCTGGGGCACCTTCACTGAAGGGCAGCGCTGCACTGCGCTCCCAGTTCAGCGTGAGGTGGGCCAGGCCAAGCTCCAGAAGCAGCGGGCCCGCGTATAATCACAGGCTAGAGAAAACAAGCTCATCCTATTAGCAGGTGCTAATTACATTAACCGCTTTACTTTCCATTTAGGTTTTAAAATATGCAAGACCTACCCTGACTCACTGTTTAGTTTCAGGCCCAGTTAAAATGATGACTTTTGAGAAGCATGTAGCAGGTATGGGAACCTGTCAGAGCTTCTGGGTGCTGTAATACTGAGCCTTCAGCTCTGCCCTTCCAGAAGTATGCAGCTGTGGTTTATCAAATTTGCATAAAAAGCCAAAAACCAAACCTGAAAAGCAACATACAAAAAACCCCCAAATCACCAGAAAACCAACACAACCCAAAACCAAACCGTCTAGCCAAAACCCAGTTCAAAATTATCACCTCTCAGACCAAGCCCTCCCAGAAGTGAAGTGCCTAGACCTCATTTTAACATGTGAAGAGAGACAAGGAAAGGCACAAACACTCTCCGTCTGCCAGTTTAGAAAGACGAGGTGGGAACAAAGGTTCTGATCTACATCATAGAAACTTGCACTATGAAGAGCTTTTCTCTGCTGAGCTTCCACATGAAAGTTTAAGAAACACTAAGGCAGGAGCTTTTTTTCCCCTACCCCAAGGGCTTTTAGCCCTCAGGGTTCTTAAGCTTGTGAACAGCCCTCTCTGCAATGTTAATGGAAGTTATTAATGTGAAGGGCCAAGAAGAAAGATGCAGAAAAGAAACAGAAGAATTCACCATCTTTTGCTTCGTCATCATATCTTTGAAGCCCTTCTAAGCACAGAAGAAAGGAGTAAAGAAGCAGTCCAGATCACATATGAGGCATATGCAGCAGATGTAATGCCTATAAATAAAAGTTCAAGTGCTTTCACTGCAGACACCCATTTGCAAATAGCCCCCACACTCTTTTTCAAGCTGCTACTCTCAGCTTAATCCCCACTTAACATGAATCATTGCTAGGCCCACCTATGGTGCAAATCAATACATCATGTTTCTCCTTTATCCCTTCCAACCTTTCCTTCTGCTTTACCCTCATTAGTGCTAGATGTTTCAGCTGTAGTATTTACTGTGCCTGATAAAGGAAATTCAACTTGAGAAACAAGGGACTGAAGCAGATGTCTCAGAATGGGGACTGCAGTGCAAGTGGGAGTTGATCTCAAAGAAGTCCTCTGAGCACATGCTTTAAATTCACAGCAGAACAGTCTTAAAGAGTCCAAGATAAAGTAGTCACTATCATGAAAGCAGTGAATCTAGTCAGAATTGCAGTTGGTCACTTGTACAATAAAATAAAATAAACATTTTATCCTCCTGCATGTATGCATTTGCTCTCCTTGTATGCATGCAGGAGAGCAAGTGTCTACCACTGGGTATCAAGTACAGTTAATTGCATCTGTTTCAGAAGGCAATCTAGAAAATACAGGAAGCAAAGTTAGACCAAATACATTCCATGGTTAGAGGGATTGCAGAGCAGCAACCTCCTGTATACAGCCTACGCTGTGTTATGGAGGAGAGGGGAAAGCAGACCTTTAGGCACAAAAGAGTCTTTCCACAAAGTATGCTGCCTGTCAGCCTGGAAGTGACCAAGCATGCTCTGGACAGATGGACTTTGTGAAAACACTTATTTGCAAAACTCTGGCAGCTCCATGCAGGTGAAGAATCTCATTTAATGGCCTACAGCTTGAACAGAAGACAGTTAGGTTTCTGTTGTCTTCATGGACCGCTTGGTGCTCATTTGTAACACACTCTCCCTGGCAAAGCAGCATTAACTGTTGTTGTTTTTACAACCCACATTAGCTGCCTATATGAAAATACCTCATTAGAGCTGGTGTCAAGTCCTGCTCTGAGATTTCCTAACTGCTCCATCTGTAAGAGAAGCTGTACCTGGTACTGAACCCAGCCTAACCCTCCCACTAGCTCAGTAGGTGGCAGCTGACCCAGACAAGGCACGGAAATGGTTTTGGTAGCATTCAAGTCATGATGCACACATTCTAAGCAAGAAGTAAAGAGGAAAGTAAGACGTGCAGACAGATCAAGTTTAACAGACTCCATTTACTATTTATCAATTATTTTATCTATAGATCGTTCAGTAAAACAAACTATACTTTATATAATAGATTACTTCATTGCAGGTATTGCACAGGCTGTATTCATCTCGGCACCATGGAAACATGATAGCAGGAGGTTACTGTATTTTTTAAAAAATATATAATTTAGCAGAATTAGACTAGCACAAGAGAATACTAACCATTTTAAATGGGTAATCTCATTTAAATATCCACATTCATCTCATTCCAGTTCTAGTGAATTAGAGAATCCAGAGTATTAGTACTGGACAGGGCTAAGGAAGGCTGCTTCTCTGCAACACATCCCCTTGACTACTGGCCTCCAAAGGCATTCAGCGGGTCATCAAATGTGCTCAGGATCTTGCTTTCAGATTTTGGTTCTGAGGCTGCTTGGGAAGATCTGGTTTTAGGAGTAGGTATCTTGACTTGGCTGCTAGAGAAGATATCATCTAAAGAGGGGAACAAAAAATAGATTTTAATGAGAAGTGACTACTAAACAGAAGCAACATTGTACACAAGAGACTCCATCACACAGCAGTGACTGCCAAGGACATTCTGTGATAAACAAATGCTTTCCTGCTACTTGCAATTCTGAATGCATTTGTAAGGACATACGTGGGAGCTGTTAGCTGTTAAGATTTTTTTTTTCCTTCTTAGTAGACAGCATAATACTTGTATTTTATAACATGTTCAGGTTCTCATAAGCATTTGTAAAGTACTAATAAATTAAAGCTCCACAATAAATTCTATCATGCAAGTGCCAGATAACATCCCTCTTTATCTAGAACATTAGTGTCTGAGGAACCTGAGAGATCCAAGAGCTGTGAGGTTGTTGCTAAAGAAAATCCAAAGAGGAAAAGATGGTGGTTGCTAGCAACTGCTGTGGTGATATTCACTAACCATGAGTCTAATGTACAGCACAGTAAGAACATAATATAAATCCCCTGAGAACAGACCATTGCTAAGATGCAAGGAGGCAGACAGCTATAACCACTATCCTGATGAACATTCAAGAAGTCTGTACAGTTTTGAATCAAGGTCTTGCACCACCTTCCTCAATACAAGCATATCTGTTGTGAATGACCAGGAGCACAAAGTAGAAAAATATCACACTGCCTTTAAGGCAGAGGACAACAATACATAGAAATTAAATCATCCAACACAGATAGGCTGTGTCAGCTGCAGAGCTCACAGTCCTGCTGTGGCTAGAACTGATTGTGTTCAGGACTGTGCTCATGAAAGAGATGAAGCTGCTACCATACACATGCTGAGGGGTTACCATGAGGTTTCCTGAGTGTACACAATAGTGTATCTTGTACTCTAAACTAAGAAATTTAGGATACTCAGATTATGCAGTTGGAGTATAAAACAAAAAAAATTACAAGCCTTAGATATGAGGATCACTAGTGATTCACAAGGCCAGTGTAAACTGGTCTTGAATCCCTATGAGGAAAATATGGGTGTTATACAGAGGTTAATATAGCCACTGAGTCTAGCTGGTCAGAGCATGGCTCTAATAACAGCAAAGTTGTGGGTTTGATCCCCATATGGGGACTTGATGATCCTTGTGAGTCCCTTCCAACTCAGAATATTCTATGAATTACTAATCCAGAGTATAGAAACCCAGAGTATAGTATTTCAATCTTCAGCACGCAGCCTAACCTTGAGCAGAGGCCAAGCACAATGTGGTCTATCAAAAAGTGTTTCCCTATCTCTTCTCACTACTTCCAATTCAGCATGTGTCTGCTACTGTGCTGATCATAGGGATTACACAGGAATAATCCAGGACCACATTTCAGCACAAGAGCAGTTTAGAAAGGCAGCAAAACAGAGTAATCCCCTACTGGCATCACTCCAAAGCAAGAAGCTATTCCATGGATTAGCTTTACAGCAGAGGGGAAGTACAGAGACTGCCATAAGCTGTAGAGGTATCACTCCTATTTTTCAGAAAGAGGCTTAAAGAATACAAACATTTTGCCCAGGGAAAACAGTATTTGTCAGAGTGCAAGAAAGCTCAGTGACCATTTGAAGACAGGCAGAGGTGACATCCGCTATAAGGTGATTAAGGACTCTAGTGACTGAAAGGTGTGGTAGGATGAAAGAAAACAGCCTGCAGCCTTCATCCCCTCTCAAACTGCAGCTGAAATTTACTGTTTCATTTGCAGCAGAAAGGTTCTCCTAAGACAAACACACACAGCTCTGTAAAAGTGCTACCACCATCACTTAAGCCAGCCCTTAACATGAAATGTAGGCAAGTGCCAGTTCCACAATTCTACTGCAGAACACTCACATCTTCAGGCATCTCCCTGCACTCCTGTGGGTGTGGTGGAGCTCCATGGGCATTAAGGAGCTGCATACCTATGGCTGTACCACTGAATAGTCACCACTCCACAGGAAGATGAAGTCCATCAGATGCAGGTACTTTAGGTGCAACAGGCATCAAGATCAGCTAGGCATCAAACACAAAGCTCTAGCACCAGAGTTGATGTCAAAAGTGGAAGTACAAACAACAGGTTCTGTTGTGGCTAATTTTCAAGTGGGACTCTACAACTGTTTTTTTCAACATTCAGTTCAGATTTTTCTGTTGAATATTTGGAAGGGGTAACTGCTTGGCAAATTTTTTTCACTTACTATAGACTACATGAAAAAATGTAAATTATTAAAACAAGATTAAAAAAAAAATCATCATTTCAAATACATTTCTAACAAACCTTTAAGTCTTATTTTTTATATCAATCAAGAAGATTTTGAAATCTCAAGATGCTCATTCTCCAACAAGTTTTCTAGCACATTTACAGACTTCAGCCATCAGGCTAGAGTGCTTAGCAGCAGTCCAAGTAAAACAGTAGTAAGTCAGATTCAATTTGAGTAAGTCAGAGGGAATGAAGACTTGACAAGAACCAAAGCTAGGGAAGAAATTTTGTCTTAGAAAAGAAATACATGCAATCTCAAAGAGCTATGAACATGAAGAGTCTGAGAACAGACAGAGCAGAGGATCACATTACTTTCAGTATCTCTGCTGATGGAGAAGAAAGGAGCATGCTTTGTGCATCATTTCACATTACTACTCACTGTTTTTTCAACAAATTTTACATAGCAAACATTTGGTTTCAGGTGTAGTATCTGTAAATTGTCCTGGGTACATGAATGTAAACAAAAGCTTATGGGCTCCAAGGTAGTTAACACAATAGTGAAGGTGGGATGGACAGAGATGATAGTTTGCTTGTAACAGTGATTGATCTGAAAATGCAATACAAAAAGCTGTGCAAATCGAAATACGGAATCTGTCTCAGAGCCATAACGTGAGATGAGTCTCTTAGAAACTTCTCTGGAGTAATTTCCTGCAGGAATTAAACTTTTTCTCAGAACAATTTTAGACTCTCTCCTAAACTACTTTAATGCCATGCTAGTTCTACAAATCTAGAAAATTCTCATCCAAGATAAAATCCAAAGATGACTAGAGATTTCAGAGAAGCTGAAAAGCACAAGGTCCTAAAACATCTTAGATTAATGCAATTCAGGACAATAGTACAAGACTACTAGCAAGATTTTGCTTATGCATACACTTACCCATATCATCATCAAATATGGATTTTTGTTCCACCTTCTTCTTGGTCTTCTTTTCTTTTGGTTTTGCAGTTAGATCCGCAAAAATATCAATGTTATCATCAAACAGGTTTGTCTCTGGTATTTTCTCTTTAATTTTGGTCACTGGCTTAATTGCCTCAGTAGCAAATATATCATCCTTGAAGAAAAATAGAGAAAGATCTCATCACTTCAAGAGAATAGTCAAATTATCTGTACACAGCAGCTGAGATGTTTAGAAGACTTGGGTTTCCTGGGCTTATCAGACAAAGGTTGAACTCAGCAATCTGAGAGGTCTTTGCCAACCTAACTAGCAAGAAGTTTGAGACCCTTTTCCTCATGGGGGACTTGGCAAAAGTGCCTTAGTAGTGGATTGTACATAGGTCAAGTACAGCTCACAGAGGCCTGTATCAAGTGCCCAGCCCACCAATTTTATTCCTTTTTTTAAAGTGTTATTTAGTTGCTGGGAATTGAACAGACAGTTAATAAATAAGAACAAAATACCTCATTATTCTGAAAAAGGTATGCTGTCACAGCACATTCAGTGCATGCCAGCTCTGTGCTAAGACTCCACCTTTTGAACTACTGCTGTTAGTCAGGGGCTGAACAACCAAAGAGTTTCTATATCCCAACAGTGGAGCAGGATTCAGAGTTTACTTCACTCCCTTATCCTGCACACCTCATCCTATTCAGCAGCCTCCATTAAGTCTAATTTAGAGGGGTCTACATATGGACCTGGGAAACAAAAACCAACGTGGCAGGTTCAGACATTACCTCAAAGATATCTTGGGCAGTAGGGTCAACTGCTTGGTGGACAGCAGATTTTAACTCCTTTTTTCCAGTTTTTTGAGAGGTGAAGAGAGAATCTTCCTCTTCCTCCAAAAAAGGTATAGGGCTGCTTTTTGTTGAAGACTTTTGTTGTACAGGCTGGAAGAGATCATTGCTGTCCTGGTCACCCAGATCAGGCTTTTTCTCCCTGCCCTTTATGGCTTTGCTAGCCATACTGTCTGGCATTCCTTCCTTCAGCTTTGGTTGTGTAACTGGTCTGGATGTTGAGCTGCTTGCAAAAAGGTCTTCAGATTCAAACAGATCATCCCCATTTTCTGTGGATTCTGGAGGAAGGAGTTTGTTTGTCCCAGCAGACAAAACACTGCTGTGAGCTGGTAGTGACAAGCTAGAGAGAAAGCCATTTTCCTTGGACTCTGCTTCAGCAGCAAGAGGCTCCTTTATGCTCTCTACTGCTGACATCTGTTTTGGTAGAGAGAATTGTGGCTCTTTATTAGAGTCCATGTCCTCACTCACTTCAGCCTCTCGGGCAGCCAGACGCCGCGCCATTCTGCTCGGGGGTCTGCGTTTCCCTGGAACCCTGATCCTGGTCTGCAAGCAAGGAGAAAAGCAAAGCAGGTCATACATAAGGAAAAAGCCCCACAGGACATTCAAGCTTGGAGTAGTTAGGAGAAAGATTTAGAAATATAACCTAGGATTTCTGATTTGCTGCCCTTTCCACAGCGATGGAACTGGTGTACAAAAGCAATAGCACTTGCAAATAGAGTCACAACAGGCCAGCAAGCCACTCTAGCCCCTTGGCTTTAGGTAATACCTTAGTCAGCCTGTTACCTTGCTAATCTAGGGGCTTTCACAGTGCAGTTCAAGCCATGACTAATTGTATTTTCCACGCAATTTCATTTTATGTATACCTGTTGCAGTTAATTGCCTCTTTTAAGGAAGCCTCCAGCAAGTTTCCATTACAGCCTCTCCCCTATCCCACATGGACAGGAGTATTTACATGGGTAGGAAATAGATCACTACAACTTCTTCCCTTTTGTTAATTGCTTCATGCACTGTTCTTTGAAAGGGCAGAATGCTGGGCAGGTTGCTTTGTTCCAGCCGTTGGAAAAAAAGTGCATTTGACTGGATATATTTACACTCAAAGTTGAAAGGCTGAAGAAGCAATGTTATGCCAAAATTACAGCATCTAACCTGAGCCACAAAAAGCATTCACTCTATAGTTACCAAGATGCTTCTTCTCAGATTACTTATGTAAAAAACATGCATCATCACTACACTAAAATCAACATTCAAGGTTGATGATATGCAGCTACAGGCAGTCTATTCTTTGCAGGCCTATCTATTTAAAAGTATCATAATAGAGAGCTTTGTCTGTTGGAACAAGCTGCTATTGGAAACAACCATGCCTACATAGTAATGCACCAGGCTGATGTACAAGCTTCAAACCCTGTCACTAAGGGGTCATGTCAGCCCTGGTTGTTGGTGGCTGCTGTATCTTTCCAAGTCATCTCTGCTACTCATCTAGTAATGAACAGCCTCATCAGCATCAGAGGAAGAAAGAATCAAAGTTAAAATCTTAAGTTATCTTACTCAAACTGCTGCTGTCAGGAAACGCCACAGACTTATAAAATCATAGGCACCTAGATGAAATCTTAACTACGTGGCTGACACTTCCATTTTTTAAAAGAACAACTAAGTCTCTAATTAGAATATGCCTTTTGCAGTCCATAAAGTAGAAAGTATGAGTGAAAAACAAGTGAGTCAGGAGGCAGAGATTTGCCACATCAAAAGCTGTAACACTTCTTTTTGTTTTCCTTTGTGTGAAAACAAAAGTTTTCCTTGAAAAAGAAGTGAGACTTACAGTTCAGGACAGTGTGACATTTTTATCCGCAGAGGAGTTAAAGGTCACCCTACAGCAGTGATGTGTTCTGGATAGCTTGTGAAAGCAGCTGCCTGTAACCTGTTTTATAGTTAGCCTAGCAAGATGTCTTTTAAATATTTTTTTGGGTTGGTATCTCCTGGGATGGGACAAGATGTTATGCTAACATACCTTCAACCAACAGGGAAATCCAGTATTTGGAAAAGGTACTCATGTACTTTAAAAGGCACCAGGTATCTGCATAAGCCCCTCACTGAGCTAAGTATAGGTGCTAAGCTAGACTTTCTCTTCAGTGATCCACGGAAGTGAGAAGGGATTAGATTTTCACAGTCCCATTTAGATTCAGATAAACCACACTGTTAGCAGAACTTGCATACCAAAACAAACTCCTGCACGAGGACAGACTGTGTTTATAAACCCCCTTCCTCTTATCCTAAATACCAAGGTTACCTTATTGGCGTTGTGCAAGGTGTCTGCTTGCATGGGCTGATCAAAGCTTACACCCATCTCTTCATTGCTTCCTGTGGCAGAGAAGGTGTCGCTGTTCTGCACCTCCTTGGGCTCATGTAATGGAGTGTCCAGCACTGGTAAGGGGGACTTGAGATTGGAAACCTTAGGCATTGCACCAGGTAGTAAGGCTGAAGGGTTAATAGCTAAGTTAGCCTACAAAACAGGGACAACAAAAACATACACACAGAGAGAGATCACATTACTACTGTTCCAGAGCAGGCATTGCCCCAGAGAAGCAGCAAGAACTAGTGTATCTCGGTAAACAAGTTCTACTTCTAAAGTACCTGACTTTTCTCAGACCTAAGAACTTCTGTGTCTCCCACAAGCTCAGTCTCACTAAAATTGTGGAGTGGTCAACACTATTATTCTGTGTAAGAGCTTCAGGAACAGCTGGGTCAAGTTATGCCAGACCAAACACCTACGTAGATCAATATTCTGTCTGAGGAGACAATGATTCTGACTTTGAATGGTACTGTGATATAGACAGTTATTAATCGTTTTGTGTCAGAAGAGGGACATAACCACAGTCCCCCCTAAGAGTCTCTAAACCTACTTAATAGTGCTAAGAACAATAGCAGTTTGAAGTGGAGCCCACCCTCTGCCCCCCCCAGCATAAGTAAACAGTGCTGCTAGAGTCAGGACTAAAACAGAAGGAGGAAATAATATTAAACATGCGATACAGAAAAAGCAATCAAAAATATGCCATCTGAAAAAAAATAATAATGTTGCAAGAATAAGGTAAGGAAGCAATAAGATTTTGGTTCAGGGAAAGCTATCAGTGAGGCAAGGAAGATTTTCTTTTTTTTATTTTGAAAGTTAAAGTGCCAGTAAAGTTAATTACTTGTAGCTTTCCAATCCGAGATGAAGGCTCTTTGGTTTTAATGGGAACAGGACCTGTAGATTTCTGCACAAAATTACATTGGATTAAACAAGTTGACAAGTTGTTATCAACCAACCATAGTTTTCATTTTAATACATGTATAGAAAGTAGCTAATTGCTTACCAATTTTTTCTGAAGATACCTTGTTGTCATAACATTCTACCATTAGAGCTACAGTCACAAAGTTTTCAGCTTCAGCTTCCCACATGCGATGGCCCCATCTTCATTACATTTCATTCACCCATCCTTCTACCCAATATTACACTTTGCCATGGTAACTGAACAGCATCCATCTTCTCCAGGTCACTGCCATCACTAGGACAGTCAGGACAACTGCCCTCAGGCAGGACAGCTACCTTCTCTCTCCTTGCTTATTCTGTCCCCTGGTGATATGAAGCCATATTGCCAGGCAATGATCTAACTTTTCTCTTTGTGACTGGCTGTAACAGGGCTACAGACTTCAATGAAGCCCACATGGAAGCCAAGAGAGCTTCAAAATTGTTCCACTCAGACTTCAAAAAAAACCAGCTTCAGAGAAGTGAGTGTTCCTCTAAAAAAAGCCAGGCCAGTAGTGTTAGAAAGAAGACTAGGCTACAGGAGCAGCTGTTTGGTCTGAAGACTTGGGCCAATTCTAGGACTCAAGGAATGAATCAAATCAGCTAAGGTGCACTTCCCATGGCTTGCTCTCCACAAGTTTGGAGTCTGCATGGTTCTGTGAGTTAGGTAATAGTGCTGTTGGTATAACTGGGCAGTCAGAGCTCCTTCAGCTATGTTGAAGTAACTGAGACTTTGCAAGAGTTACAACACTAGTTTGAAGGGCTTGAGAGCATGACAGAAGAATCCTAGCATCTGAGAAGATTGTTCTCTACTTAATTGCATGTGGTGTTCAGCTTAACCTCAGACAGGCTGAAACCATTCCTAAACTGGCTGTAGCTACAGTAGCTACAAAAAACAGGAAGATGAGCCTGGTTTTAAACTTCAAGGAACACTTTACAAAAAGGGAAGACATGCTAATTACTAACCCTACAGGTGTGCTCTGTGTTCTTCAGCCCAGGGGAAAAAAAGAAACTCCCACTCCCTTCAACAAAAAGCTAATCTTGTACACATGAAAATCCATCAAGCAGCTCTGGTGAGACACAGACCAGAACTCTGGTCCAGATCACCTCTCCCAGAGACTCTTGATTCTGCAAGATTAAGGAGAGGAGTCTTGTTTATTCACCAAAGAGACTCCAAGATAGGAGTCTCAACTGACACAGATTTGTGCTGCATGCCCTGATCTCCTTTCTGAGAAAGGCTGCCTTTAAAGACCACATTCACACCAACAGACACTGGCACTTCAGACAAGAAGAAACAACTAATTTTCAGTACCTAGGGTGTAGCTCTTCACTGTCATTTCACTTTTTAAAGTGAAATGTGCATGTACAATGAATAAAACATCAATAACATTTAAACTTCTTGCTACTAACAATGCACCTGGTGATAAGCAGAGCAGTTTGGTCACACACTGCTGCCTGGCAGCCAGTGAATCCAGGCATTACTTTTCATCTTTCCAAGACAATTAAAACAGGATTATACATCTCCTTTTTCTTTGCATGCTGCTCAAGACACAAGATTTAAGTACTTGCCTCTGTAGTTGCTGCCTTCAGAGTCTCATCTTGCTTGGCACTTAATGCATTTTCTAAGTTACTGCTCACTGAGGAAGGGCCAACACTGGTCTGAAGAGTTTTCTTCTCGGCCATTTTCTGAAAGCATTATGGGCACAAGTCAACATGAAAGGGGTAAAAAGCATGGTGTGCAGATCCAAAAAAAAACAAACCCAAAACCCCAAAAGAACACAAGTAAAAATCTTTAAAATCTTGCTTTTAACTGAACAGAAAACTGGTCACATCTTTTGATCCTGCTGTGCATAGCTGTATTTGGTTTGCATGGCCAGGTTTTGGTAGCGGTGGTGGGGAGCTACAGGGGTGGATTTTGTGAGAAACTGGTAGAAGCTTTTTCCATATCTAGCAGTGCCAATCCCTGGTGGCTCCAAAGATGGATGTGCTGCTGGCCTAGGCTGAGCCAATCAGGAACAGTGGTAACCCCTCCATTATAACATACTTAAGGAAAAAAAAAAGTTTTTGCACAGATGTAATTGCAGCCAGAAAAGAGTGGGATGAGAACACGGGAGAGGAACAGCCCTGCAGACACCAAGGTCAGTGCAGAAGGAGGGAGAGAAGGTGCTCCAGGCACTGGAGCTGAGATTCCCCTGCAGCCTGTGGTGAAGAACGTGGTGAGGCAGCTGTGCCCCTGTAGCCCATGGAGATCCACACAGGTGCAGAAATTCACTCACAGCCTGCGGAGGAGACCCAGCCAGAGTAGGTGGGTACCTGAGAGGAGGCTGCGAACCCACAGGAGGTCTGGGTCCTGGCAGGGACCTGCAGAACCGTGGGAAAGGAGCCCACACTGGAGCAGGTTTCCTGATAGGACTTGTGACCCTGTGGGGGACCCAGGTTGGGCCCGGCTATGCCCAAAGGACTGCACCCCATGAAAGAGATGGGATGGACTTAGGCTGGGAAAGTTCATGGAGAACTGTCTCCTATGGGAAGGACCCCCATGCTGGACCAGGGGAAGGACTCCCCTCTCTGAGCAGTGGCAGAAACAAGGTGTGATAAGCTGACCTAAACTCCCATTTCCCATCTCCCTGCACAGGGGGGATAGGAGGTAGAGCTGGGAAAGAGAGACAGGTGGGAGAAAGGTGTTTTTAAGGTTTTATCTTACTTCTCATTATTCCACTCTGATTTTGATAGAAATAAATTCAATTAATATCTCTAATTAAAATCTGTTTAGCCTGTGTAAGTATTTTGTGCATGATCTCTCCCAGTCCTTATCTCAACTCATTTATATAAAATATATAACTTTGTTATATTTTCTCTCCCCTGTCCAGCTGCAGAGGGGAGGGAGGGGCTTTCGTGAGTGTCTGGCATCTTGCCAAAGTCAGCTGACTACAACAATAGGCATTGATTTATGGCCCTGCAAAGCAAGGGCCTTCCATTCCTCCGTTCCTTTAGTCTACCTCAACCTTTGCTGTCTGTGCTAACAATTAATAATGAGAGTTTCAATAAACTTTCAAATGCATACATATTTCCTCATGAGCAAAAGAGCAGAGAAAATAAAAGAACAACACTAGCTTAGGAACTGTGCTATTTTTATATTTTATGGAGCAACCAGGTTCCATATATAGTCTCTCAAGCACTAATTACTTAAGACCACTCTGTACAGAGTCCCCAAAGAAATAATTTTCAGGAACTATTTTTAGTTCTCTAGCCTAACTTCCAGTTATAGAAATGAATATAGACTAAAGTAAAAATTAGTTTCAATTTAATTAATATAACTGTATTTAAAAGTAGCAGTTTAAAATGTATGTTAGGACTTGACCTCAGATCACCTGTAACACAGTCTAGTTCATTACTGCACCTACTCGCCCTTTAAAAGCAATTGGGTGTCCATGAGGATTTTAACACTGCATCATTACCTGAGATCAAACCAACCTGCAGAAACTTGAATTACACAACTCTCAGAGCACAGCTCATCAGTCATGCATAAAGCACAGGGAAGTAAGATCAGCAAGTTAAGCAATTAAACAAAACAAACTCTACTACTCTGATTTCTGCTCAGGTTTGCTGTCTTACACCTAAGCCAGTCCCAGGTGTACATAAAAGGAAACAGAATCCAATTATTTCATCCCAGCTTTGAGAGACCCAAGGCATCTGTTTGCTCCCTATGTCTTCAGGGTCACAATGACCATTTCTGTTCTCTCAAAAAGATTTGAAAAGTCACTTAATTTCTTGTAGGTATACAAATGGAGAAAATCCCTTCCCTACACTTCTTTCCCATCTCTTTTATTTAAGGCATTTACAATAGAGAAACAGGTACCGGAATGTTTGTTTTAGCAGTACTGAAGAGATCATCCTCATCATCATCCCCAAACAGCCCTCCTCCAGGGGACGGCTTCAGGATGCGGCTTGCAGACTAAAGAAACACAGGACAAAGAAAAGGTGTGTCACAGACCCAAAGCTCATCCCTTTCAGCCCATGATGCCAGAATATAACTGACATTAGCATTTGGCCCTCCCTGGAAATCAGTGACCTCTAAGCTGTGCCCAAACAAGGAACATCAGTACACTGAACACTCCAAAGACTGTTTTTAAACAGGAGGTTCAGAGGAGGGCTTTGAACTCACCATTGACTTCTTGGGGCTGGCAAAGAGGTCAACATCTGGGTCATTGTCCTTCTGAAGTTTCTGACTGAAGAGAAGCTCTTCATCTTGAAAGACCCCAGTGCTTTTGGGCCCAGTACTTTTCTCAGAAGCCTGGAAGGAGGGGAAGGTCCACACAGTGAGAAACTCCCTCTGTGAGGAGGTTATTTGCCTCATGATAAGGCAGGTTACAATTCCCTGAGGCTACACTACAGCCCTGTACTGGTAACAAAAATACAACTTTAACTGCTGGTTGTTTTATTTTAACCAAATTTGCAAAATTACAATGTAAATATTTGTATTTACAGTTCAATTTAATGAGAAACCATTCACCACAATATCTGTGTCTGCTGATCTAAGATCCAGCTGCTACTATTTACTTTAAAGCTCCCTTCAAAAAGAAAACAAAAACTTTTCAGTATGTTATCACAAGTGTACAGTAAGGTTTATATTCCAGTAAGACTTTTATGTCTCAAAAATTTCAGTTAAGGATGCAGGACATAGTAGTGAAAGGAAGAGAATCTCTTGGTTATCTTCCTAAGTGATATTTTCAAAGAAGAATAAAAAAATGGATTTTTTTTTTAACAAAAGGCCTGTAAAGCTATTATTGTTGCTAGACTCCCTGTTCTTCTCCTGTGCAAGCAAGCAAACACCCACATGGAGGAACAGAACATACTGCCTTTGGCAAGAACTTGTACTTTCAAATTTGCTGCTGTGGGGAAGATTGCAGTTACCCACATCACCCTGTAAGTCCTCCATTACCTGGCAAAGGTAATGAGTATCAGCTCCAGCACCAAAACCAATGCCTGTGTACGATTGTGGTCATTGCGGGCACCCAGGTGCAAAGGCAAAGGCGCCACTCAAATGTCCAGGTAAAGGCCCATAACTGGGTTTTACCACTCATTTGTCCCTATTAAAACAACTCAAATTAAAGGATGCCCCTTCAGAGCACGACTGGCTGTCCAATACTATGACATCAGACAAAATCCAGGCAGCAAGAGTGGTCTTCACAGGAGTAAAGCCTGGTTCTACCCATTCCTATTTAAGTCTCCATGAACCCCAAGGGGCTGCCTAAATTTAGTTTCCAGTACACCACTTTTCATCCATACACCCTCTCCTATGATTTTTACTACTGTAATTTCTTTATTATATTCTCAGTCTCTCTCTGCCCCAGCTTTAATTTTGTATCAAAAGCCAGGTGACATTTTTAGAGCACTAGAAGTACTGTTTATGCCCAGATATGTGAAAACCTAATGCAAATCTAGAATTATCCACACACAAGTTGAAATAAGCCAGAAAAGCGCCTTTCAGATTTGCCTATCAAAAAGGTTAAATTCATAAATTACTGTTCTGATTTTTGCACTTCAGCACCTTAATCACTTTATGACTATTATATGCTGAAAGATGAGAACTTTGAAGGAGAGATTTGAATAGATTTCTATTTTTCCAAATTCATAAGACAGATGTGACTTCTTTCAATCATCTCCCAGTGTGCTCCCCACAAAAACCAAACACAGTATTCATTCACAAGTGATAAACAAAGGCCCAAGCTAACAATCCATTTTAACTCAGGAGCTGCTCTAAACTGATTTTTCTACAACAGTCATCTATTTCATTAAGTTCCAAGGGCTTCTGAGTAAAGTGTACATAGCTTTTAGGACTGGCAGCTTACTTTACATCGTCCCACTAAGATGACAAAACCTTGTGGTACACTGTGGTATATAGTATATAACTTTTCACCCTACTTTAAACTTACAGAAAAAATTTCAGTACACTTGCATCAAGCAGAAACAAGAATATTGCCATGGATTCAAGGATATTGCTGCTGAAAATTCCAAGTGCACCTCTTGATGGTACACACAATAGCAGAAAAGCCAGACTAATAATACAGTTGCTGGAAGCTTTTTAAAAAAATGAATACACATACTTCAAAAACAGAAGAAAACATAAGATTAAGGTAATTATTGTTGAACCTAAGTCTGAAGGCATATACCAAGCAAGCAAACTGTAATAACGTTAAAAAAAAAAAAAGGAAGATAAACCATAAGGCTTAAAACTCCACATTATTTTACTTCCTAGTGTATTTGACCTTGAGGAGTAACTGAAGAGTGAGTTCTGCAAAGCAAAAATCAAGTAGCTGCACTGAAACATCTATATAGAAATGTAAACAAAACCTTGCCTAGAAAAGCAGAGATGGAAATACCATTTCTCAGTGTTCAAGAACATCCTTACACTCACCACATCAACTCCTTTCTGTGCATTTTTTATGCCATCATCATCTTCCAGTCTCTCCTCTTCTTCCTCCTCAAATAAGCTCAACACTTTCTTAGCTTGGCTTTTCACATCTTTCTCCAGAGCTGGTGGTGATGTTGCAAACAAATCTGAATTGTCAGCTGGCTCTGAAGATATTACTGTAAAAGGCTCCACCAAAGGATAACAAAAGTAACACATCAGCCTGTTATTTATTTCTGGTTGGCCCAAAAATCCTGCTAAGCTTTCTTGGTTGAATACCACCAGTGGTCAGAGTTCTGCAATCATTACCAAGCAGGCACCTGTATTCAACTAATTCTTCCCAAGCAGACAGAATATCAATATGCAGCTTACCAAGAGACAGTTGATAAAGAAAAGAACACACCTTTCAGCTCTGAAAGGAAGACAAATTTCCTCCTGTACCCTACCCCATGGCACTACTGATAAGCAGCTTCTTGTGTAAGGCTTTTTCCTCATCTCTCTGTCAGGCTGCATGTGCACCACAAGACTGCACTAATCAGCTTTACCACTATCCCTGAGTTACCTAGCTCATACCACTTGGGATACTTCAGAGTGAACAGCACTACCAGAACCTTAAATGTGCTCAGGAAAAGTGTGAAGAGTAAGAACTGCAAGGGAAATTCATCAGCTGGTAATTCCTCAACAATCACTCACTAAGACTATGCCCAAGATCAGTTCTGCTGAAGCTTCTGCAAAAATACACTTAATACTCATCAATACTGTTCTGTAACAGTATTGCCCAGCAGAAATTCACAATCCTGAAGGCCACAATAACACTCATCACTTTATAAATCATCACTCATTATGGTGAAATAAAGTTACTGAGCTTGAAGAAAAATCTATACATTAATATAGGCTATGTTTTAAAGGAAAGCTTTGTTCATGTAAACGAAGATTACCCAACCCACTCTGGAGGGAAAATGGAAACAGATTCTGCCTACCTCCTTCCCCACCAAAAAACTCAATCCCTCTCAAGGACATCAGTTAAGAAATAACTTAAATGTCATTTAATCAATTTGCTGTTTGGCTGACAAGTGATTTTTCTAAATGGAGACAAAGGAACTTTTTCCTCCAATCCAGAAAAATAATTCCGTGCCAGAGCAGCACTACTTGATTGTGGTTTTTTTTAACTGAATCTTTACCAAACTTCAGATTAATCTAAGAAAATCCCTCACTTTTTCCTTTATTTGCTGCCCTGCAACATCTGTTCCTTGAGGCACAGGAGCTGGTCTAGGCTTTTTTGAATACCACAATGTATCTTCTACCTGGTTAGACTTCACTGTTTCATCTGGCAGATCTTCCTTTTCCTCCTTTTCCTCTTCATTAAAGGTAGGTGGTGTGTGAGCTGGTTTTACTTTCTCCTGCAAAATCAGGAGAATGTTGGTGACACAGAATTGGTGGTTATATATAAAATGTGTATGTTGCTGTGGGATAGCAGAGTCTCAGTTTGCCTACTGCAGAGGTCTAGGACACTGGCAACATGCTTGACTTCTCTTATTTTCCTCCCATGGGACATTCTGGTTTGTAACTTTTAACTTCCAGTACTATGAGTTTTTGAATCTGGCTGAAGAGTGCCAGGAAGCACATGTACATGAATCCCTACTACAGATACAGCTCTATTAATCCCTTGCATCTCATACTCTCAGTTCCAAAGCACAGCCAGGCTAAGCTTGTAAGACAGAGGATGGCAGGAGCACACAATAGGGAGGGCCAGTAAGAAGCCTGTTTACACATCTCAATCATCTTGGGTAGGGTAACATGAAAGGATAACCCTGGCTACTGAGTCAGCAGTAAGCTATTTGTTCCTTTTAGTGTTATTTAATGTTGAGAGCTTTCAGGACATCCTTAGGAAGGGCTTTCAGCATAAACCAAACAAATTTAGGGTAAGTGGTCAAGAAAATATTGAAGTCTCCATTAGGCTAATAGCAGTATGAGTGTACGTGTAAGAGTTCAGTCTTCCCTGTTCCCATTCCCAATTTGCTAGTTACCATTGTGTGAAATGAGTTAGACTTATATTCAGTACCTAACAACTATGATAGACTGTAAAATGACTGAGTGTTCCATGTTAGTTTTAAAAGAATGGGGAGTTACCACTGCAGCCTTGGCAGCTGAAGGGAGTAGCACTGATTGGGAGCTGAAGAGTGATTCTCCATTAATATCATCATCTTCAAATAACAATGATGGCTTCTGTGGCTTTCTTTGGCTGCAGTGAGAGGGAAGAAAGTGAAAAATTCAGTGGCCATGCACTGCATCTGTTTAAAAGCACCATCATTTGCAGCAAGTGTTCCCAGATATAGCACTTGGCTTCCTCACTGTCCCAATAATTCTAACACACTCTTTCTTGTCTACAAAGCTTTCTGCAGAAGTAGAAATAAAAAAAGGTCAAGAGGATTTTATATCACTGTCATAGAAGTGGAAAGGCCAGTTCAGTGGTGGCAAGCAGAATGACCCACCACAGCTACAAAAGAGCCCAGCACTGCCCCTTCCTACTCACACACCCCTACTTCCTCCTCAGCAACAGTACCAGGAACCAACACTTGCAATATGCCTGGGTCCATCTGGTTTTGGAAGGGCTGCTGGGCTGTTCTGAATAAATGCCTCCCCACTCCCCTCCCAAGGACTGTCACCTCTCTTTAGTGATTGCAAATAAATCCTCCTCATCTTCTTCCTCAAAGAGACTTGTTGTCTTCACATCTTTAGCCTGACTGACAGTGCTTGCTGGTTTTGCAGGATCTTCTTTTCGGCCATCCTCAGAAGGAGGCTTAGCTGGCTTGGAGACATTCCAATGTTCCTTAAAAAGAAGGAACAAGTTTTCTTTTGTCTTGGTCAAAGCCACTTTGCAATCTTCTTTATAAGGAACACTTTGTCATCTTGGCAGTCCTTTCATCTCTCTACTAGTTGATTTAGCTGCCTGCATTTTAGCCACTGCAATGTGACATTGCTCAGGCTTTGCAAAGGGCCTGGTCACCTTCTGGCACACAATATTAATCCAGCAAAATACAGTACACACATTTTGTTACAGCTGCTCTTGACAACTGAGGTCAGTGTCAACTGCAGTGTCACAAGAGTAGGGCCACTCCGTACAACCTCACTGGAGCCACTTAAATAGTTAACAAGTTTGATGTATGGGAAAACACAAGAAAAAAGAGAAAAACTCCACCACATATACACCCAAGACACCTTTAGTAGAGTGCTCAATGCTGCACTTACTTCCTTCACAACAGTTCTGCCCCAGGCACCCACCTCCTCCCACATCTACCACTTATTCAAGCCTACACACTAAACAAGATACTTCTGCTTGTTTTGCTATTCCCAGCATTTCAAGTGGTTTTCCCCAGTTTCTCACCTTTGCTTGATCTCTTTGTGAAAGGGATTACAGGCATGACAAAATTTGAACTTGGCTTATTCTACATTAATATAAAAATGCATCTAAAGATATTACTGTTGCCTACTAAACAAGCAATTTAGGACAAGTAATAAAGTCTATGCAACAGAGTAATTTTGAGAGGTAGGAGGACTAAGAAGAGTCTGGATCCTATTCATATGAACTAATTCAGAGGTTTCCAGAAAAGTTTTTAATTTTTATGTTTTTAATTTACTTTAGTGTCCCTGGCTCTCATTTAAGATGGAGGACAATACCTAGCCCATCCCTAGAAGAGGGCTGCTCTATGGAAAGCCTAATTATTTATGTATCATTTTCCCATCCCTAGATTTAAAAAAGCAAAACATCCAAACAAAGAAAAAATCCACCAACACTTAAGCAAATAAAAATTCCAATAAACAAAACCACATGCAAAAGAAACTCACGTCAAAACAAAGAAAACCTCAACACACATCTATCTAGAACTGCTAAACTTTCCTTATAGAATTTAAAGCAATAAGAACAAACTAATTTTTCCCTTTTAGTGTTTTTAAGTCAGATTTGTTGGCAACAGTCTTCATTTGCTATAAAATCTTCTATAAATTACATTGAAAATACTGATTTTCTTTTCCACATGACTTCTGTTTCCTAGATCCTGTGAAAATTTGGATCAAGGATCAGCCTCCTTAGCTGCAAACAAGTCACAGGATTGGGGCAGGCATGGCATGTGGACACAGCAGAGTTGGTCTGTGGTTCCCTTCTCAAAAGTTTTATAAAGCACAAAGCCCAGTAACTATTTTCAACCAAATCTCACTCCTCAGTACCTCCTCATCACTGCTGAACAATAAGCTGGAAGCTTTCTTGAGAGACCCTGACTGTTTTGCTCTTGCTTCTGGGGTCTTTTCCTGGTCCTTCTTGGCAGGTCCCACACCAAAGAGATCCTTAAAACAAAATAAAATATAGTATTAAAAAAAAATCAAAAGCCAAAGCCATAATTAAAGGCTCATTGAGAAATCATCATCACATAAGATACTGTTGCCATTCACTTCTCATGTAAATAGGATACAGAAATGGTGTTTTTTGAAGATAAATTCAAGTTTAACACCATATTCTGTTACAAGGAATCCTACACATACAGGATTTGATAGACCAGAAGCCTGTTAGCACATAGCCTGGTTCTGGCTCACAGATTCTCCACCACAAGACGTGACCAGCAGCCAAAAACCACCACTCAGCAATTCTGTAGCACAGCAGCCAACATAATGGGGCACTGTCTCTAACATGTATAATGAAATGGAGGATGAATCCTGTTCTGAAGACAGGCATTAAGTGAGCTGAACAACTACCACTGGGTAAAAAGATTAAAAAAGCACACCTTAATTCAATTTTTTTTAAGGTTTCTTGCACAAACTTGTGCTCTGACCTCTGTTTCCATACTAGCAGTCACGATTGTTACACACTGAAGAGAAAAAAAGGAATTCAACAGCCATGACAAGAGAACCAAGAAGTCATCTGTGTGACAGATACCAGAGGTTTAGGATAAAACAGCTTCTTGAAGCTCATACTTGTTCTACTGCTCAGTGTTCTCTAGTCCTATCAATCAGAGGGATAGTATCTTTCATGTTTAGATCCAGAGATGAAATGCACTGACTGCAAACTACTTAAAAGACCTCAAGAACTTGCAGGACTTCCCACTCCCACTCTTCTCCACAGTACTGTCCACATGCTCAGAACTGCTGCACAATGCAAGAGCAATTTAGTGCTCCATTTGCAAGGCCAGTGTTGTAAATTTCTCAATGCTTCCTGCTGCATTTGCAACAGCCAGTGCAGGTGGGTTCCCCCACACAGGCAGTATCAGGAAGTGGAACTTACCTCTTCATCATCATCAAACAAGGAAAGCGGAGCTTTTGTCATGGACTTGCTGGTGGGGAGAGATGTAGCTTTGGACTTCACAGCTTTACTTGATGAAAACAAATCCTGTGCAAACCAAAGAAATGTCACTTTGCAAAGCAAGGCCATATGTTTAAGAACTCTAAAGGGGACATTAGTGTTTTTCCTTCTGAAAAAAAATGTTTAGAATGTCTATGAAGTGGTGGATGCCTTATCTGATGTACCAATCACTTCCAACTGCACAGGAATTTTCCTCATCTTTGCTGGTTAATTGCTAGCTGAAAGCCAAAATGAAACATATGCAGTCTTTAATGATTCTTACTTTTAATTTGCTGCTCCTTCCTGTCTTCAGGCTTTTAATTTATGCCTGTGTGTAACACTAATGTTTAACTCTCTGAAGACAGGGAAAAAAATCAGCTTTCACTCCTGGAGCAAGAAGGAACTTTCAGAACAGCTGGGAGTACGTACATGGATGTCAGATATCCCAATCCTACAAAATGCATAAATAGTCCCCAGATACAAATGGAGTGAAGTCAGGATGACTATGATGCCAAGGATTTCTGTAGGGATTTCTTCAAGAAATACTCACCTCAGCATCCTCCTCATCAGAGAAAAGGCCCCTCTGTTTTCTTGGAGGTGTTTCAGACAAAGCCTTGAAGTCCTCACCTGAAGACTGTTGACTCTTTAGGACAAAAAAAGACTGCATCAGCACCAATTTAGATTCTCTCACATACATACACAAGTGCTCAGTATCATGTTCAGAGCTTTCTACAACTTTGAGGAGTTTTCAGCTAAAAAACAGTTTTCTAAACACCCCAAGTTTTGTAAATGCTTAGGGAGAACTGTGACACCCACCCTCCTCTCCCATAATACACACACAAGCTATGGGTTACCAGTTAAGCTGCTGTCAGTGGCTGCTGTAAGAGCAGACAGTTTCTGCAGCACTGAACTGTGACACCAAAGGTTTCTAACTCAGGCTGGTTTCAGCCATGAAATTCATAAACATTTTTTATTATCAGAGGCTTTTCATTTTGCTCTCATTTCAATCCTGCCTTAATAAGACTCTTTCAGTCACTGCCCACACTAATAAAAACCTCAAATAAACCCCAAGTTTAAAAGGAAAAAGGCATTTAAGGAACACTGAAGTACTAAATTATGGAATACCCTATGAACCTAGTCCTATTTCATAAATATGTAACTTTAGTGTTGTATATTGAAAGACTGCTTCAACTGCACTAGAAACTTTTCCTAAAACCTCAGCCAAACAATCCATTTATATGACATTACCTTTTTTTCCACAATTGCCTCCCTATGGCTTTCTGTTTCTTTAGCTGTGCCAGCAACCACAGAAGGAATGGCAGGTTTCTCCTTGAATAAATCACCTTCTTCATCATCATCAAATAGGTCAGCTGTAGATTTGACTACATAAAGAGACAAAACCAGCAGGAAATGAGGAATAAAGAACAAGAGAAGATAAGAGAGTCTAACAAAAGATACCATACTGTTTGATGATGACCAACATCAGGAGTCTTTGAGAGGAAAAGTCAGACAAGCTCCCAAAGTGAAACACTGCCTTCCTGAAAGCACTGGTGACAGAATATGCAGTGAAGCAGCTGAGCCAGCTGGCACCTCTAAAGGCAGTGTTTTGTATTGGTTTAGCACAGGCCTAGACCCTGCTAATAGGGAATGCTGGGCACAAAGATTCAAGGCTGTGTGAATAAAGCCTGTACCAATTCCCTGATTCAAGTCTAGATACTGTTCTAGTGGTATAAGGAGCATCCTTAGAGAGAAGTCAGGGAGAGCATGTACAAACAGCCCCATGTCACTCTGATGAAAAGAAATACCAATGACAAAAAAACCCTCTACAGCAAAATTTTGGTTGACAAAAAATCAACCAAAACCACAACCCCTCAAAACCCAAAGAAGTCGCAGTGCTGAAGGTTTGAATTTTATAACCCATTGGTTCCTACCAGTTTGAATTTTGACGACTTTCAGTGTTTAATCTTTCACCACAAATGTTTAGAGGTACCTGGATCTGGAGGCTTTTTAGTTGCTTCCACAAAGAAGTCATCATCATCATCATTATCAAATAGAACAACTTTCCCAGGTTGTTTAGGTGTTTTTTCTGTGCTCCGTGCTGCAGATTTCTTGTCTTTTCCCCCAGTTACAGTGGAACTAAACACATCACTTCCTCCTGCAGGTCAGATGGGGGCAGAATAAAAATCAAAATAACATTTCCAGAGTTACCAAAAAGCTGAATTTGTGCCATAGTAAGTGACATCAGGTACAGTTTCCAACTCAGCAACTTTTAAGGCACTCCTGCAACAATGCCACATCAAAAGCATTAGCTAGACACATTCTGATAAAGCCAAGTCACAGACAGCCCCTCACTCTCACTGCAGTCACTTCTTCCTCAAACCTGCTCATCTTCCCTAGGAACAGCAGCCAGGCTCTGTGCTGAAGCTAGAAGACTCAGCAGTCCCACACTGCTGTCCCTATGGACTTCCCAAACCAGAATCCTACTCTACTAACTAGTGCACCACACCACTGTGGCCCAGTAAGATGGTAATGTGCTTGGGGAGAGGGAGGGACAGGTGACTGAGCTCTTCCCAGGAGGCAGACTGGCCATGTGAGCCCAGCAGCCATCCTGCAGTACAAGGCTGGCTTTGGCCATGATGTCCTTGCACACACCAGCTATGGCAGTGATGGATTAGAGCCAGCCAGAGCAACTGCTCCTTCTGCCTCTCTGTGGGAATGTCCAGCCTCAGTGCTCAGTGTGTGATCATCTGAAACACTCCTAACGGTCTCAGCCTGTCTCCTGGCCTCTCATGTGTAGCTTGGAAATGAGACAGAGGTAGGGAGATACTTGAAAAAAGTCTGGCAGAAAGCTGAACTACTGCTATTTGGTTAAGTCAGCAGACTGCATAAATTTTGATCAGCAGCAGGTTCTTATTAAAAAAAAAAGTGTATTATGCAATTATAAAGTGCCTCAGGATTGACAGGAATACAGTCACAAAATGTAGTTATTTATTAAAGATTATTGAGTCCCTAAACAAACCATTCACTGGAATAGCAAAGGAGCCTTAATTCTTGGCTTTTCTCTGGTGACTTAAGCCTGTCTACAAGTTATTGAGAGGAAGCAACTAAAGACTAAACTCACTGCTTATACCTCCAAGAAGAAAGGATAAAAAAATCCCACACATCAATCTGCTGTTTTGAACTCTGCTACTGAGTTTTACAATTATTTACAAGTCCCCTTGTTGACATGTATCATTGACCCTGGAGTAAAAACTCTGCATTTGTGTACTTACTTCCTACTCTAAACATTTTGCTGACTGAGGTCGCAGTTAACTGAAACCAGTCTTAAAATAGACCTTTATTAAGAAAGGCCAAAACTTAAAATTCAGATACCTCAATCAAGTGAAGAGCCTGCACACTGACAGAAATCTTTATCAGTAAATTAAAAAAACAAGATTGGTCTTAACACAGGAACTTGATGTTTAAACTGTTCTTCTGCTAACCCTCAAGGCAATATGATAAAATGTGAAAGATCAAAATGCAGTTCCTTCTCAGGCTACAAGTGGAAGCTGTGACTGCATGTACAGCAGAATTAAGCTGCATGTCAGTTGAAGTGACACACATCCTTAAAAGTTCAGAGCACAACACTTGAAGCTGACAATTGCTAATATCTGCCATCAGTGACACCTACCTTCAAAACTCCTCCAGAATGTTTGATTATCCATAAAACATGCTGCAGTTTAGGCTTAGCATGGTAGAAGCATCTGTATTTGTCATTAAGCATGTGATCAAGCAATGCAGTGCTGCTGCATCTGGATAGTTTCTTCTTTAAAACCTCAGTAGGAGGTTTTAAAGAAAAGAGCATTTTGTGCATGAAGCAATTGGCTATTGAATAAATCATACCTGGAAACAGAAATACTGCACCTGCAGGAACTTTCTTTAAGGACTTTGTAGAGGATGCTGAAATCATAGGAAGTACAATACAAATGGATGCACTTATTTTATGCTGTCAAAGCCTTCAGAACTTTACCACAGAAAGGGGAATCCAAGAAGTTGTCTAAGCTGCTTTTTATTTCTTAACAGCTCAGAACTTTTTAACACATTCTTCTTGAACTTCTGGGCTATTTCAAATATATGTAACAGTCTACTTTTTTCAATTTAAACTCCAAAGAACAGCTCTACTACACTGAAGCTTATAAACACATTACAAGTTTACATACATCATTATTTACAACAGTTCACATTCACACACTCAAAACCACTTCAATGCATTCAAAACAAAATGGCTTAGTCTCCCAAAACATATCTGAAAATTCATCAAATACAGTGCTTCAGTAAAAGCTCTGCAATACAGAATGTGTGCTCAGAGTCCTTAAGGCTATGCAGCTAGTGAGAAACTCAGGTGAATTAATCTGCAAGAAGCAATCTCTGCTCCCCTCACACCCACAACTGGATCCTGTAAAGAACACTTGAGAAGCAGGAACCCAGCACAGAGCAGAGAGCTCTGCCAACAGCAGTAAGGACATCCTTTCAGTTCTAGGAGAGTATACAAACAAACACATGTAAAATTTAACACAGCTGCTTTCTATTAACACTGCTGAGGAGAAGAGACTTGCTCTGTAATTGCTACACCAGGCTTTCTAGTTTGGGAACAGCCTAGCTGCTAGCAGTAATAAATCACAGCACAGACAAGACTACAGGAGGCAAAGGGTGGTTCTTACCTTCGCTTACTGGGGCTTGCTCCTCTCTCTCTTTTGATTCTTCTCCTTTTGGTGCTTCAGCAAAAAGATCACTCTGCTCATAGATGAAAATGCAAAGGGAGGGAAGCGGTAAATTTGTTTCTGTAGTTAATTACAGATGCTGATTTTTCCATATTGAATGTTCACTTCTAAGCCAAGACAGAGGAGGTAATCACTCAATTGTTAACTTGAGTGCATACATGCAGAAAAGCAGCACTCTTCTAAAATTCAATTTACTGATCGCTAGTGTGTCTGCTGAAGAGAAGGAATGACCTTTTATTTGCACATCTTCAAGGACTTCCACTAATTATTCTACAGCTGGTTAGATCCTGATTATACCCTTCTGAGCTTTCCTACTGAAGTTTATACACTAAGGTTTGAGGGAAAAATTCAGGTCAGGGCAAGCATAAAAATACTCCTGAACTTCATGTAGATAAAACATAAGTGCAGGGAAATATATTACAGCTCAAAAACATTGCAGGGCACTCCCACAGTTGTTCTTGTGTTCAGGTTGCAGTGCCCTGTGCCAATGTCCAACAATCACAGCCTGGATTTCCAGGAAAGCTCCAGATTTTTTGAGTACTGACCACTTAACTTCTTGAAAGCCTCCCTCTTATGCGAATGGGGGTATTAGAGGTTGACTACCTGGAGACTCAAAATGCATGGTCTTTGTATAAAACTCCAGAAAGAAGACAAAATACTTCAGAAAGAGTAGGGGTGTGGCAGAGGTGTCAGTGATCAATTGCCATTGGTAAGTTATCATTTGTCTGTTGTCATGCTGTGTCTGCCTGCTGGTATAGCACAGTCTCCTCCAACGCACAAGTAAAGTGAAGATAAATCACCCTTCAGAGATGTTTAACTTCACATAACAGAAACCAAGCCCAGGAGTATGCAGGCAGGCAGCAATCACAGACAGATCTGCTTGGCTGTCCTGGGTCTACAGAGATGAGGAAAGTAGTCTGAGTAAAAAGTCACCAAGAGGTAACCAGTGATGGCTTCATTCAAATTTGCACTGACACAAAACTGCCTTGCACTATCAGATTATTTTTCTTAATATCTGCAGTATTCTCACCTCTTCATCATCAAAGAGGCCTGTTCCACCACTGAAGAGGCCACCCCGTGAACCAAACGGTGTGAAGTCCTCATCAGTCAGTTTAGGAGGCTTGAAGATGTCATCATCTTCATCTAGAAAGTACAAGAGACATGAGCTTTGGTAAGACTGATCAAGTCTCAGGAAAGGAAATTAGACACAACCAAAATAAAAACTGCTTTGGTTCCATCTGCTCTCATAAACATGACACAGAGAGAAGCTGCTGAAGACAGACTGGGTTGTGTGGTTGCTGCAGAAGGCCACATAAAGGAAGAACTCTCACCAAGTGTGCTTCCAGCCTTGTTTACATGAACAGCCCCATCTAGATTTGTTTACACATTCACCTTAAAGAATACTCACTGATATCCCACCCAGCTTCTATAGCAAAAGCCACGATTTCTTAAGTGTTATCTTACAATCGAGCCCAAAATTCAAAAGCATGAGAGGAGGATGTCCTACCATCTGATGGAACTCGAACTTCCTTCTTCTCTTTTGGGGTTTTCCTTGTTTTGGTCTCTGATGATAGGGCTGTAAGAAGAAAGTTAGAATGAAAAACCAGTCCACCTTTACTTACAGTCTGAGATCAATCTATGGCAAAAAGAACCTAAAAAATAGCAAACCAAGCTGACCTCTGTGCTTCCACATGAATCAGCCTGATTAATCAATTCTATGAAATACAGTTTCTAAAACTAGTACTTAAAATTGTAATAGAGTAATTCTGTTAGGCACTAGGGGTTCAACACAATTGTCTACATGCAGACTAGTGTCACCTGAGATGTCAGAAAGCAACACAGCTTTGCACAGGTTCCACACCTTTGCAGAACCTCCAAGCATCTCAAATGGTTCCAGATTTATTATTGTCTTCATTCAGCTACCAAAAGCAAAGCCAGAGTTTTATCTCCTCTTGCCTTACAAGGTTACTTCAATGACTGGAAGATTTCCCTCTAACTGAACAGGTTAAGTTGGTAGGTTTTATATTCTTGATATCAATAGACCTAGTTTGATTGTTTGAACTGTGCAAGAACACACACAGCTCTTGTCTGTTCATCTTCCCAATTTTACAGGTCAGCAGCAGTCTCACAAGCACTTGACAACTCAACTTCACCTAGCTATTTTCCACTGCTGCTTTGCTCCAAGACTAAATACTTGAGACATCTCTGCCTTTGAAAGCAACACAAAAGTTAAATGCATTATTTAGTCTAAAATATCAAAACTGACAGGAGCAAGGAAAGCTTCCTCAAAACACTACATTTAAGCAAAGAAAACAAACAATTCATACCACATGAAAACACCAATCTACTGCTTGAGGTGTTTTCTACTGCAGAGCTCACAGAAAGACCACAGTGACCAGTGGCTTCCACAAATTTACTTGAAACAGGAGAATGCACATGTGGTCAAACATGCAGAGGGAGAATCAGATTGGAAAGAAAACATTTCCAATATTGTGTGTTTTGAGAGTGACCTGTCTCACCTGAAAGCAATGTGTTTCCCACTGTGAATTCCAATTCAGTCCTCTGAGTTATGGGCAAAGAATTACTCAGAGCACAAAACAGTGTCTGTAATTCCTCTTGTCATGCTTTTACCTAATACATGTTCAAATAATAGACCTGTGTAACTTCATGTTTCATTACCCACAATCTCCTGTCCCACACTTTCACAAGTCCCCCCTTACTGCACAAACACTTTTCAAAACTTGGGAGATAACTCACATGAACACTCTTCATCTTGTCTGACTGGCACTTCTCCTTTGATTCGAGCTGCCAGCTCATCTGCAAATGATGTTGGCCTCTTCTTTTTCTGAGCAGCAGGGACAAGTAACAGCAGATCCAGTTAGCAACTTGATGCAATTACAATTACAAATACTGTATTCTATAGCCTCACTTGTACAGTATCTTGTCTAGACTTTGTCTGAAGCCCTCAGAAGAAGCAATACAGCTTTCTGTTAAGAAAGCAGAGATTAGGCATGCATCAGAATTTCTCAGAATTTCTAGTTCTGATGAACACATAGTTGTTAATGTCACCTTGCTTTGTAAACAGGAGAAACAAAAGGCTTTCACCTCACAAAAATGCAATCATCCATTTCTTAATATTCTTGAAAGACAGCTTTGATACTTTTTTAAGCTGTGAGAATCCCCGAGTTTAAAGGCATAACACATGAACAATTATGTTAAAAGACTACTCAGGATTTTTGGAGGCACTTCCTACGGAATTCCATTCCAGGTATTTGAGAGTTACCATTATAATCTCTCTAAGGACAAATTTTTTTAATAAAAAGTCAGATCTCCCACTCCAGGAAAGCAGCAATTACTCACAGGCTTTGTGCTTTCATCTAAGTCTCCTTCCTCATCCTCCTCTTTTTCAGAGTCAAAGAGATCGCAGCCATCATCATCATCTTCATCACTCATTTGGGCTATCCTCTAAAAAACAAATAATATCCTGTTCACATACAAAACAAGCACAAAACTTCATCTGCTTAGATAAAATATTCAAATCAAACTCACAGAAAGGACGGGAAATTACAGCCAATTTGGAGTACCTCACAGCTTTTGAAAGGTAAGGAAGGAGAGCTTCTAGCCCCAAGCCAGTTGCTGCATTCTCTAGCACACCCCAACCCTGTGCTGTGTTACTGAATGCTGCAACTGAGGACACAAAGGCTCCCTCACATGGTGTGTACCACTACCATGCACAAACTAAAGACCTGGTATTTAGTCTTAACACATAACACAGAGTTAAGTATTCCTTAGTGTTCCTTGATCAACTAGTAAAAAATCTTGCTCTGTCCTTAGGGTGCACAGCAGAATGAGAGACACTACATGCTCACATCCTGGTTTCAGTCACATCAGTAAGAGGGTGAAAAAGATGAAGTGAACTGGATGAGAGCTGGGGGTTGGCACAGGCAAGCACCCATAATTGAACTAAATCACCAACAACCCAAATATACTTGCTCATCTTAAAATACACCAGGCATACAAAGCTACCCTATGAAGGTCAGATATAGTAACATCTGAGTGTTTTTGCAACACTGTTTTATTAATAAGTAGATTAAACAAGGGTTGCTTTTTCCATCATTGCTCTTTTGGCATTAAATCATGCCAGATTGAGGATCCCCACCTAAAATTCTTTTGCAGTAGCACATCTAAATATGGATAAGATTCCTTCATCTAAAATCAATTACAAAAGTCAGGCTTCAATTTTTCCGTCTCAACATTTCTCTTCCCTTCTCATTCATGATCCAAATGGATATACTGTTTAAATATCTAATAGTGTTCACATCTTTGATCCCATGTAATACTCAAACTGTATTGTTCCTTGCCTCCAGCACAGCAAGATTAGATTTTTAATTATAAACCAAATGAACCCGCAGAAGCCTAGTTTTCCTGGAGTAGAGTCTTTGAACTCTCATGCCTCCCTAGTTGTTCCTCAGGAAAACACATATCAGGCAATGCCATCCCACATAGGCTCTGTATCTAATGACAGCTTGCAAGTCTTTAAGCCCAACACAGGTTCATTTTCAGAACATGGTGCCATCTGCCCAGGACTTTCCCATATAATGTTATAAAAATCAGGCCTCACAAAGTTGCTACTTATGACTGTCTAGAGCTCTCATCTCCTCTTTCATGCATGCTCACTGTGTCACAAATGGGAAGTGTTTCGGGTATGTACCAGAGCGTTTAACCATACCGTCTTTTGGTCATCTTCACTAGGGTTCCCAAATTCATCATCTGATTCCTGTAACATAAGAGACCCAGAGACAAGTATCACACATTACTTCAACCAGTGGTTAAGGGACAGGGCTCAGAAACTCTGAGCTTGCTCAAGTTTGGACATGCAGATCTCCTCACTATGATCTGACCAAGAAATTGTTCCCCCAGTGCTGACCATTTTTATGACAGGAGCTCACCAGAAAGTCATTAATTCAGCAAGGACAGCAGGCTCCATTGTGACTGCATCCAAGTAACTCAAAGGGATTTCACTTAAAGTGAGCAAAGACACCAAAAGCAAACACCTCAGGAGAAAGGGATTGCACAGTTACAAAGCAAAGACATCCCAGCAGGCAAAACAAATCATAAACTGGTATTCCAATGCAGCAGATTTATGAGGTTAAGCCTGGAGGTGCATCACTTAAAGCTTTAAACTTGCTCCTGAGAGTCTCCATCCCATTCTTTGTGACTGTAATTTACAACAGATCTGTTCTCTATAAATGCAATTCTTTATAAGAATCTGATTTGCTTCACAAAATTAAATAAGAGTGGAATAAAACACTTCAGTTTGAAGTATTCTACTTTAATAACAGCTAGAGTCAATACCACAAAAATGTTCCTCTGGAAAGCTGCAGAGGAAACCACTGCATGAGAACAATAACAAAATATATATATCCCAACCAACACTGGGAAAAAACATCGTGCAGTATTATCTTGAGAGCCAACTTTAAAAAGCAAGGTAGTTAATGGCCTCACATGCAAGGAATGTTTGTGCAAAGCAGCTGGTACTTGCCACTTACCTCCTCATCCTTCTCTTCACTGTCAATTACACTTCCACGATCGCTATCTACTGATCCTTCTAATTTAAATGGAAACAAAAAAGTTAACATCAGACACAGAACAATGTGGTCACCATTTAAGCCACCTAAAGAGTCTGAGAAGAAAACTAAAATTCAGGTGGGTAGAGAGTGGTTTGAAAGAACTTTGACAGCTGATGAAATGTTAATACTTTGCATTTCTAATACACAAAGCACAAGTAACTGAGAAATTACTGCTTTGTATACTGGAAATGTGGTTGTTATACATGATCAACATTTTTTTTCCCCAGCTAATTACAGCCTGCATCTAACCATGCAAGAACAGTACACAGGAAAACCAAAGCAGTGATTTAAAACAGTCAAAAATCTTGGATTAGGACCTAATTACTTGTATAGAAATAAAAGGTCATGCCAGCACATACCTTCACTAGAGAGATCCCCAAGGCCAACATCATCCTGTTCCATAAACTGCTGAGAGCCAATCAAGTAAGGTAAAGGTCTGTCAATATAGAGATCCTGGAAAGGGACAACATCAGGTCTTTCTGACATCTTTGAACAGCCCTCAGAACAGAAGCCTTACATCCCTTGTCTTAACTCAAGGAAGATACAAGCTTGTTAAGAGTCCCACCAAACCTATGCTTCAAGTCAACATGTGACTGGGTGGGCTAGCTGATGTTTATTTCCCTCAACACCATCCAACAAAGTGGGTACTTCTGTTTGTGTAGTCCCAACTTGTTTTTTGCATGCCATCTAACAGAAGAATATCCTTGCAAAGACCTACAGGTCTTATCCCAAAACCTAGACCTTGGATTTTTAATTATTTGGATGGTAAAAACAACCCATAAAGATATGGTTTGTACCCACAAAGCATGAAATTTGTACATCCCACTCTCACACAGAACTGAGGCTTCCCCTTCAAAGTTCACGCCAATAAACTAACTTCCTTTAGGATGCCATACCTTAATGCTAACCTAACTGCAAGACAGACAGGTTACAAAAGGAGTAGCTCAGCAGAGAGCATTTCTTCAGATGCAGTCATCAAACCCTCTTTTTAGGCAACAGGTTTAGGTAACATCAGTTTTACACTAAGGCAGCAATACAGCTGACAGAAGCAAAGAGCAAGTCCAAGAAAGCAAAACAAACCCAGCAAAAACGGGTCCCTGTACCTTTGGCTCAAGTATCAGTTCCATTCTTTCATTACTTTCTTCCTCTTCGGAGTCAGAGTTCCCTGCTTTGATGTCTAGCTGTTCAAATGCACTGTCCAGAACCTGCAACCCATAATTCACTGCTTCTTGAATTTTAGGGATTAGATCAGCTTCTTTCTGTTCCCGCGTCTTTTCCTTTAGCAACAGAAAAAAACACATGCTCATTGCATTTTACTTAAGACTCAGTCTTACCACAACACACATTCAAAATGTTAATTTCAAATCAGCACAATGAAAGGTTTTTCACTACGTTGATTAGAAGGACAATCAGATTTTTTTTTTTTTGCTTGACTTAATTCCTTTTCATCATTCCAGAAACAGAGATGTTCTAAACATCCACACAAGCACAATATTGTTTTACTTGTGCTCCTAAACTATTATGGGGACATTTATGGTATAATACATCTAGATTGTAATATACATACATACATACATATATGTAGCTCTCTTACACACATCCATATATATATATAGCTCTCTGAGTACTTATTCCTAGGAATTATTTCAGTCAGATTCTGCTTCCCCAATTTACTACCTGTGAATCCAGTAAGGTTGCCCAAGGCCTTCTTGCTGAAAAAACATGCATAACCACTTAAAAATCAATGCATAAGTCTTGTCTGCTGCATACAGTACTGAGCTTGGGGAGGTACTAACAGATGATCACACACTGTAGTAGCCTCCAATATCACTGTCAACTTTATGACTGAGTGACATACACTATCCAACAGAAAGGAGAAAGGAAGGAGTTTGGTTTGTAAGCTGTAAATGTAAGCAAAGCAAGTTTGAAAACGAGAAGGTAGACAATGGCTGCAAACATACTGCCAGCACTCAAGGCAGCTGAAGTTAAACTACCTGCTCTGTTTTGTCTCCAACATCAGCTTTGGGAATAGGCTCTTCCACTTCTTCATCATATACTCTCTGAAAAGTCAAGCAAAATTAATTCATGTAAGAACAATGTACTACTACAGGGGCTAAACCATGGGGTACCACCACAAAGTGCACTGTTAATATGTAATTAATCACACATTAGTTCATTACACATTAAAAAAGGAAGCCATGGATGATGTCAAGTACCTTCATGCATTGGTACTGAAGGTACCATTGGCAGCCTCTCAATGCAACTGAGGTAGTTCAAGTCTGCTAACAGACTAACCTGAACATGATAAAAAATGCACTGTTTTAACATTTCCAATGTAAAGCTGTTCTAGACACCTTCAGAGTGAAACCTATAGTTTACTTAGAGGCTGTCTACTTTAGTTTTCTGTTTTTTAGTAGCTTTTCCTCCCATACTCACAGAAAGGGTTCACAACAACCCTCAACCTTCAGTTTATTCTGATGATCCCTCACATCCAGCAATCTTTTATAGGAACAAGGAGAAAAAGGGGAATAAAAGATCTCCATGAAACCTGCAAACCTAAATCCAAATCTGAAACACAGGTGCAGTTATCCCTTGGGAAGAGACAGATCTCTTACTAACTAAAATGAAAATCAGAAATGAAGACCTATTTCTGTGCACCTTAATTTGGGAACAAACAGCTGTAAGCACATGAGATTTAAAACATTTGGTACAAACTGCTCTCAGCAGAATCATTATGCTGAACAGCCAAGCTAGGTCAGAAAAGACACTGCAGCACTGACAAAACCCACTAGCAGCAAAAACCCCCAGAATATAAATCCAGTTTTTCATCTTTTCCTCTGCTACCACCCTTCCAATAATAATGCCATGACGAGGCACCTATGGCCTGAAATAATGCTGATCAAAACAAAACACTTGATAAAACTCACAGTGCTAAAAACCCTCCAAAATCTGAAATACTATCAAAGCTCTCCACCTTAATTAGACACATATAGCGATACAATGCTGCAACAGGCTTTCGAGTCCAGCTTTATCTTTCAAAACAGAGATATCTATAAAGTGGCAACATTAACCAGAAAATATGCTTGTCATGACCACATGAAGGGGACAACTACCTGCAGGCCAACACCTTTAATACCGAATGCTTTTACAGTAAAATAACACCATTAAGCAAATTTACAGCATTGTATAACATTCTTCATATTTAGATAGGTAAGGCAGACAAATGCTACATTCCTGCAACTTGTGAAGATAAACCAAGAAATCCCAGAATTCCCAACTCATTCATAGTTCTAAAACCAAAACTCTTATCTCCTGGTTATGTATCAGCAAGGAAGGAAGGTATTGCTAAAAAGGCAAAGGGAGCCTGCCAGTATTGGATAGTGCATCACTCACAAGGGAATTAGGATATCTTTTAACAAAATACAATTAAAAGTAATTTCATCCCTAAATCAGCATCAGACTTGCCAGAAAGCTAAATCACTCCTACATTAATAGACAATGACAAAGTTTGAAGTACAAGTTTGATGTTGTACTAGAGCACACTCACATTCTCTATGAACTGTGTGTTGGACAACATAAGAAAGTCATTGAAGACATTATGAAGGCGGCAGTCGGTAGCTTTTGTTTCACTGATCAAGCCGTCCACCTGTTTTTTGATTTCGTGTGTCCTGGAAATGGTTTGCTGTGAGAATTCTTGTAGAAAATGCAGAAGCTGTTGACAACAACAAAGGAAAGCAATAGTCAGCATCCAACTCTTTCCTTTTGGCACCGTTTGTGAGACAGGCAGAACTGACCACACACTTCAGCTGAGGACCAAAACACGCGCACATTACACTGAACCGCTCCCACGCACACACACAGGACAAGTCTCAGCCACTTCATTCCGCATCTCCGTTCCAGCCAAGCCCTCACTTCAGTGTTCCTGCCCGGAGCGCAGGGTTAAAGCACCGAGAGAGCGGCCGGGCCCGGGGGCTGCGCTCTTCCCGCGGCAGGCCCTCTCCCGAGCCCCGGCCCCGAGCCCGGGGAGGCCGCGGCCCCGCACCCCTCCGCTGCCGGGTCAGGCCCGTCCCGGCCGCACCGCTCACCCCGGCGTCCGAGGCCAAGGACCAGCTCTGGCTGCTCTTGCGGATCTCGTCCAGCGACCAGGGCCGCTCCCACACCGGCGCCGGCTCCGCCACGTCCCCGTTCATCTGCGGGAGAAGGACAGTGAGCAGCGGGGCCGCCGCCAGTGCCGCTCCCGGCCCGGCCCGGTCCCGCCGGTGCCGCTCCCGGCCCGGTCCCGCCGCTCACCCTGAGCCGGTCCCGCCGGTGCCGCTCCCGGCCCGGCCCGACCCGGCCCGGTCCGCCGCTTGCCCTGGGCCGGTCCCGCCGGTGCCGCTCCCGGCCCGGCCCGGTCCCGCCGCTCGCCCTGGGCCGGCGCCGCCGCCGCGCGCGGTCAGCTGAGCGCCGTCACGTGACCCGCCCCGCCCGTGCGCACCTCAGCGCCGGCAGGGGGCGCCAGGCGGCGCGCGCGGGCCGTTGGGCGGAGCCACCGCCTCCCGTCCCGTTCTGTCCCCTCCCATCACATCCGTCCCCTCCCCTCCCGTCCTGTCCCCTTCCATCACACCGCGTCCCGTCCCGTCCTGTCCTGTCTCCTCCCGTCCCGTCCCGCCCTGTGCTACCCTCTCTGCGGGAATCCCGCGGCGGGTGCGGGTCCGGCCGCCGCAGCTGTGTCCTGGCTCTGACCCCCATCACGGAGAGACGGGACAGGAGGTGCCCTGTACAGGACAGGAGGTGCCCTGTACGAGACATGCCCTGTAGGGGACAGGAGGTGCCCTGTAAGGGACGTGTCCTGTACGGGACAGGAGGTGCCCTGTAAGGGACAGGAGGTGCCCTGTACGGGACATGCCCTGTAAGGGACAGGAGGTGCCCTGTAGGGGACAGGAGGTGCCCTGTAAGGGACATGCCCTGTAAGGGACAGGAGGTGCCCTGTAGGGGACAGGAGGTGCCCTGTAAGGGACGTGCCCTGTACGGGACAGGAGGTGCCCTGTAGGGGACAGGAGGTGCCCTGTAAGGGACGTGCCCTGTACGGGACAGGAGCTTGGCCGCCCTGCGCGGCGGGGAGCGCAGCCGAGCCGGCAGCAGGGTGTGCGCGCAGCATTCCCCGCTGGAGCGCTGCACCGGCCCCACCTGGTGCCCAGGCTTACGAGTGAAAAGGGACCCTTTCTTCCTATTTTTCTCACTGAACTAAGTGAAAGGCTTACCCTGAGCCAAGTAAAATCTCCTTAGTTTTAAAACTGTGAGCCTCAGTAAACCCGTGCCAGAATTCCAGGATCTGCTAGAAGAAAACACACTAACATGAACAAATACACAGTGCCAATCGCCCAGCAGGAATTCAATTCTCCCTAGGCCTTTTGAGGTTAAACACCCCCCACTAACTTCCCCTTTTCTTGCTATTTTTTTTCCAATGGATTAAAAAGCCTTGTCATACCACTGTATTTCATATGATCTTTATTACAAGTGAAATCACAAGAAAGGAAATGACAATAAAATAACCTGTTCTTCCAGGTGGTGACTAAATAATCCATTGGCATAATCAGACCTTTATATTTGCACATGGAGTTTATTTATTTCTTGAACTTGACTACATTGATACCACTCATGAGGAACCAGGGCACTGATTGATCTTGCTTGGATTCTCAAATAAGAAAAACCACGCAAGATCTCCAAGTTCTTATATATTGATCTAATGGCTACATTCAAATACTGGAAATACATTGCTAGGTAAGGGATACAGAAACTTCTAAAAGCAAGGTATCATAATACTCCTTTCAACTCTATTTTTCTGTAATTCTGGGACAAGACACCATTACTGAACTGGCTCAAACCTTCAAACCTAGTAGAATTTAAAGAATTTAAATTTTAATATACTGATAATAAAACAGGAACTAACAAAGGACAAGTAGAAAAATACTAGCCTAGCCTAGTTTCACATAAATATAAACATAAATATAAAATTATTCTTAAAGCCTTTTAGTATTTTGCTGTAGTTTCTTCCTCCACAACATTCCATCAGCCAGAAAAGCTTGCCTTTGGTTACTTTCCATATTCACTGACATGTGAATTCCCTTTGCTGATAATGCAACAGTGTTGATAATTTCATAGAAATTTGTGCATTATTAAACATGAGATCTGTGTGCTCTTTGTGCACTGATGCTGCAAAATGTTGGGTCTTAGCATTGAGCAGCTTCAGGTCTGGGGGTCTTGCAGATCAGTTTCCATAAAAAACCCAGCATGGCGGGACACAGAACCTGAGGAACCAATGGTTCCTAGAGGAAGCTGTTTATTTGTGATACACCAGTCTCTAAGCCAAGAGGACTATGAACAGCACAACAAAAATCTGCTTTCTAGGAGTCCTGTCCTAAACATTTCAGACAGAGTTACAAAAAGCATTTCATCCTAAAATTCCTTTTAGAGAGAAATGTAAACAGGTTCCATATAAAGTTTAGAGACAAGCAGCAAGAAAAATCACTGAGGGGATCTTGCTGATCCCCTCAGAACTCTCTAAATGATTATGTGACATAAAGCTATCAAAATTCACATATGTCATCAGGGACTAATCTGCAGATTAAGAACCAGAACATGTAAGACTGTACAGGGCTGAGGTCTCTGACACCCATGAAGCCATGCCTTATTCACAAACATTTACAAGGTAAAGAGAATAACACCACGAGCTTTCCCAATAGCTAACAGAAAGTAAACATGTTTTTATAACCTTAGAACAGGATGCAAACATAAAAAAGGTCAAATTACAATTAAAAGCTAAGCTTCTGCATTCCATGGAAAAGAATCCCAACACAATTTGTGCATTTTTCCTCATTTCCCTGGCCACTCCTTGCTCTCCTGCTCAGTAGTGCTGCATGTCCTGGCATAGAGGCAGAGAGATGTGTTGTTTAGCTCTGAAATTTTCAGAATTCCTTATTCTCCAAGAGATAGTCCCAGCACCTGCATTATCTGCAGGCTGCAAAAAGTCTTGGGGGTGACAAGCAATGTCAGGGCTTGAAGATGCCTCAGACTCTGGTGCACAGTGTAGAAAGGAGTATCTATAGCTAGAAGTACATGTGCTGTCGCTGGACCAGCAGAGGAGTCTGAAATCTCCAGAGGAACTTCCTCCTCTGCTTGGTGTTCATTGCTGGTTAATGCAGTGACAGAACACACTGCTTGCCTATTAGTGTATTTATTCATTTCAGGGAATTCAAAATCAGGTTTCCTATAAATAAGTAATTATAATGCCCAAGAAATAAGCAACTATGATTACCCATGTCACCTAAAAAGACCTTGCTATATTGATTCAAGATATTTACTGCAATAAGCTGTGCAAGCAGTAAACAGCACAACAGCTAACCCTATAAATGAACCTGGACTTGGACACATGGCTTCATTGATTCGCGGTTTGATCCTTCTTTGATCTGGAAAGTTCATGTCTGGTGGTAAAATCATGGGCTTGGAGAACAGGCATTATTACTCTGGAGATCCTTGGTGAGGTGTAGGAATACCTACTTTGTCAGGAATAGGGAAACTTGACTTCTGTGCTGTCTCTGGTTTCTGAATTCCTCTGGGTCATGGGCTCTGAAACTTGAAATCTCTGACAGTTAAAGGAGTCACCAAAAATCATGCATCAACTCAGTGTCAGAAGAAGAAATAAAAAAAAAAGTTCTGAATCACAGTCCCATGGTTTTCTACTTTAGTCTTTTGTAAAGCTTGAAACTCATAGGACTGATGAAGTAGTGCTACCTTCCCACTTTTGCAAACAGATCAAGAAATTAAGCTTCTCATATTAATTGAGGTATCATAGTTGATAAAGAAGATAGAGCCAGGGTGGCTGTGAACTTATGTTCCAGGTTAGACCCAGGAAAGCCTTGCACCAAGTATGTGCTTGTGAGCAAAGAGTGGCTCCACTGCAGACAATGGAATTATCCAGAGGGCTCAAACTAAGGATTTACATTAGTGTTTTGCTTGACCCAAGCCCTAAGATCTAGTTTGAAGGCTGCAGAAATTAATGGGAGTTTTCCAGCTTTCTTCAAGTAGGTTCAAACCTATTTAAACTAATGATTGTGTTTCCAACATATTGGAGGTTTAGTTATGTGCATGACTTAATGTGCAAATATTTATCTGCATGATGTATGTAAGTTCCATAGAATCAGGAGTGAACTTTGCAAAAAACTTATTCTCTGACTGAGTATTAACCTACCACAAGGACACCAGCTCTTTTGATGGAAAATAAGAACACCAAATCATAGAATGGTTTGGGTTGAAAGGCACCTTAAAGATCCTCTAGTTCCAACCTCTGGCCTTTGGCAGGGACACCTTCCACTAGGCCAGGCTGTTCAAAGCTCCATCCAGCCAGGCCTTAAACACTACCAGGGATGGGGCATCCACAAGTTCTCTAGGCAACCTGTGCCAGTGTCTGACCACACTTACAGTAAAGAATTTCTTCACAATAACAGTTCTAAACATGACCTCTTTCACTTTAGAATGATAACCCCTTGTCCTGTCACTGCCCTCCTCATTTTTCCTGTAATTCTCTGTTAAGAACTCTGCATGCTCTGGCGAAATTAGTGCAGTGCTATGGAAGCAATTATCCTGGAAAAAAAATTGTATTGAAAAGAGGAATCCACTGGAGATGTAGCCAGATCTAAGACTTTAGGAAGGGACTAAATTCTTTCAAAGCAACATCTGTGTATGCTCAGGCAGGAGGTTGAAAGGCACCCAGAATTGTCAGCCTACAGCAGACAGCCTGCAGCACAGCTGGCAGGGCCCCAGCATCTTTGGCAAGAAATCATTGGCAGAAGAATAAGGTGTCATGCCTAACAAACACCTTGAAAGCAAAACCAGTCTTGTTTTGAGGTCTCTGTCAAAAAGCCACAAAATAACTGGCACCAAATTTCCTGTTCAGCCCAGGGTGACCTGGTGGTAGCAAAGCCTGCACACAGCAAGTGAAAGAATGGGAATGGCTTTACAGTGGTACAAGACATAGGATGGTGCACATCACCCATGATTTCTCTACATTTATATGAAAGCTTTATATCAAGAGATACACAATCATCACGGATAGAGTTTGCAAACAATATTTAATGTGCCAAATAATAAATAAGTATGGTCATCTTAATGGTGAAATAAACTGTGCTTTCTTAGTTCGTGCTTTAGGTAGTTTTTTGTGGGTTTTTTTTTCATTTTGGAGAAATAGGATTTTTAAAAAACTCTGTAAAGCATAAAATTTGTATTAACTACAGTGCTCATGAGAAGAATTTAGGGATGGAAAGCAAGTGTCTGCTATCTAGAACAATATGGATCAGTTTAAGACAGCTGATGAAGAGCCTGGACACATATACAGGAATGGCATTATGTCCTTCATACTATCTGAGGTTGTTCCTACAACACTTACATGCTTTTACACCTTGTTTTATATTCAGATTTGAAATGAGATACTGTCAGGTTGGAGACTGTGCAGAAATGGGTGGCATGAATGAAAATAAATTTGTGCTACAGGACTAAAGATGAAAACTGCTGTACTCAGCTGAGAAAGGTTTTAAGCTGACTCAACACACTCTAAACATGGACAAGATGAAGAGCTGGATGACAAAGTACTGTTATCTACCATGCCAGAATCAAAGGATGAGAAAGGATATTTATTCAATTTTCCAATGAAAACATGATTATCACTAAATTGAAATTTTAAAATGTAGTGATTATATCAGAAAAAAACCCCAAAAGTCAGGTGTTTAGTTGGACAATTGAATGCTTAGGAACTTTTCATCAATTATGCCTTTCTTACTAAAGAATTATCAAACCTGCACAGACTTCAGATTTAGCATTTCCTCCAGGGAGCTCCAGGAATTCGGTTGTGTTGTATTTTAATTTCTTTTGTTCCTGCTGAATTCTTTGGGTCAAATTAGTTATTATTAGTATGCAGTAATATATAGTGCACAGGAAAAAATGTCAATTTTTCGTGCCATCTGAAAAGCATATAACTCTCTATTTAATTTACTCTAAAAAATAAAGTCCCAAATGATTCACCTTATTTTTTCAGTCTCTAAACTTTATAACCATAGGCTAGACTGTGGCTGATAAGTCTCCCACAGGAATGAGTTTCAAGTTGCTTGGCAGCATCTGTAATGAAGTATTTTAAATGTAGGTAGGGCCACAGGTGTATAGTTCTTTCTGAAAAGAGGTGTAGGAACAAGAGAAAGCAGAGTACTTGATTAGCACTCCGAAGTTTATCACTTCTTGGGAAAGTGCACATTCAAAAGTGATCTAACACTCTACTGTAATTATTCAGGTCAAAGCCAGAACAGTTCCACAGAAATAACAGCAGGGTTTTGATTTGAGAGGAATTTTTCATTATGGTGGAGAAGAAAGAGATTTTGTAATGGGATCAGCTAAGGTCTCAGTGTTCAGAGGGTTTGATCCTGGTAGAGGCCAAGCACCTTTGTTATCTTTCAGTGCACACCCCAGCACTCACAGTGAGGATGCAAAGATCTGGCAGAAGCTCCATTTGCTATTAACACCAAATGCACCACTCAGCATGTTCCAGCCCTCTGATAGCAGGCAGGATTTGGCATGCATTTCTGCCCCACCTAAAAATCACCTGGCTGGATAATGCTGTCTACAGCTTAGCTATCAATATTTGTTTCCCATCAGAAGGGCATTTTTTCCTAATCATAATTCTTCCGAGGAATTCAAAGTCATGGAGTCAGCAATTTACCCAGGTCGGTGCTCTACAAAACCAAACATTTTCTCATTGCCAGCTGGAAAAATTTCAGAGATTTCTTTGGATGTTACAAAATACCTGCATTTGCATGGAGCAGGCTTTTTCCCCTCCACCTAGACTTGAATTGCACAACATAAAGGCAGCATAAAGCATTTGCTCTCTGATTCCACATAAAGAACTTCAGCTTTCTCAGGAAACCTAGAGCTCTTTGGAAGCCAGGCATTCCACAATGGTAAGTCAAAGGTTTAGATTGGTTTGAGTGTTTTTGTAATGGGGATACAGATAGGTATTTGCTTTAAAACTGCAAAGGAGAGCATTTAAGAGAACCATCTAGTTAGACATTTTAAATGTGGCTATATTGTATTTCAGACCTGTAAGATGCAAAGACAGGAAGACACCTCTTTGAAGATTACTGTGAATTTTGCTTTTTGCATTGGAATTATTTGCAGGAAGCTGTACAGTCTTTCTTTGCTGCTATTCTTTCCTCAGAAATGTTTGTGAAAATATTCAGCGTTTTGCAAACATTTAGGACCATTCTTTTAAAACTTATAAATGTGAAGCACAGTCTAAAATATTGTCCTTTGGCAAAGAAAAAAAGTCTGTATATATTGTCTGTGTATTTTTTCTGTTCTTCATTTTGATCCATCAAATTGTGTACTCTTCTAACTCTTCGAGCCTCCAAAGGTGTCTGCAGAATCTAAATCAACAGTTAGGGAATGATAAATAGACCAACAAAGTCCTATGGCCTGGTTCTCCTGTGATTTGTGCTCACGTAATCCCAAAGGTACAGACATCAAGAAGTGCCTTTGATGAGCATCTCAGGAATGGCATAGGTTCTACAGAGGAGGCAGCAGTGCCTGTAATATATGTTGATTCGTAAAGCGGGGAGAAATTTCCATTTGCTTCTTTCTGTGTTTAAGCTTTATTGCCAAGTTTCTGTAACTTAGCTGACAAATCACTTGCTTGTTGCAGCATAAAGCACATTCAGAAACCTGATTGCACACCAGAGACTTCCCCGTATGTTTGTCTTTAGTTTCAGTGGAAGGTCTTATATTTTGATCTTTTGAGAGATGAGCATGTGTGAGCTCATGCAACTGGCAGTTCTGGGAGTAGCATAAGGAAAATGCTAGAGGGAAAAAAGATAAAATATTATCAGAACACAGCACAACACATGAGGAATTTTTTGTATTTTCTATAAAGACATGAGTGACATGGCATGGAATATCTGTGTTGTTGCAAACACCTAACTCAGGCACCATGGAATAGCACACTTTAGGAGTTTCAGTCTTTCCCTTTATCTTCTTTCATTCTGGCTGTGGTGCTCAGCATGACAGCTGTCTCTCTTCTAGCCTAAAGCATCAGGAACTCCACATCACAGAACCACAATGAAAATGAAGCATTTCCCCCTTCCCAGACCAGTCCATAAACCCTCCTCTTCCTTGCTTTCACTATACCTTAAATGTCTGTCCCATAATAGAGGAGGAAATCAAGGATTAAAATATCAAGTATCTCCACAGCAGACAGAGGAGTTTCTCATTGGCTCACCTCCTCCCTGGGGCTCAGAACCTTTCAATGTCTTTTGGCATTGTGATTCAAGTAAGCCAAGCCTCTCACTGCTACTTTAAACCCTGTTTCAAGCAGCAACAGTCTCAGCAATATCTTCCAAAGTTCAGAACAGCAACTTGGAAAGCTCTACTCATTTCAAATCCTTTCCTGTTAGTCTGCAAATGCTATCAAGAAAAATTTTAATAACTTCCTGCATCTCTTCTCAGTCTCTGGCTATTCTGAAACTTTTCCTTTACGTTATTCAGCTGGAGCAACTCATCAAAATAAATTTGTGCTCTCTCCTGCTTCTCTAGTCCCTCTGTTTCAGTAAAACAATCATTACAAAGACATGCAGACCTTTTCTAAAGACGTTCTGGATGTTCAGCAGGTCCCAGGGCATGTAGCTGAAAGCTTCTTTAGATGCTGTTGCCCCCGCGAGAGAAAAGGAGGTGTGTCCTGTGTCAAGTCCCAACTGTGTCTGCATGGTTTGACAAGATGGCTCAGGTGATGCTACGTACAATGTTCAGCGCTCAAATTTTGCCCAAAGACATACATTTGTCTCTGTCTTCCCTGACCAGCCACCTGTGCCAAAAAACCTACTGGAATAGATTTAGATCTGAGATCTCCTCTCCATTGCAAAATGTGAAGCAATTGCTGTACCCAGAAGCGAAGCAATGGGATGCTCAACAAAGATTTGCTAGAGAAAGAGCCAAAGCTGACTGAAAGGCAATAAATAAAGCACTGTCAAGAGTTTGGCAGGGCTCTCAAGTTTATAATACCACTGAAGTTTTGTGTGAGTTTTAGAGACTGTATTTTGGCAGGGAGTGATGCTGCTGACACGGTAATATCATGCCGTTTTGTATCTTCCCACCTAAATGAAAAATGCAGGGAAATATCTGGAGTGTACTTTTCCACTATTTTCATATACACATAAGGTTATTTCTAATTTTGATTCAGGTTCAGTGACAGCTTTTTAAAAAGAGAGCAAATCAATGAGGATTAAAATGCATGGCATGAGACCTGTGTTTTTTTACAGAAGAGCTTTCTGGCTTTCCTTGTTGCCATGGGCATCCTAGTGACCCTGGGTGATGCATACTGCTGGAGTAAAATTCACAAGCCAGGGGAGGCCAAAGACGGTAAGAACAAGGAAGATCCTCTGACCTGATTGCTCTGTGGTAACTTGGCCCTCTGTTGAACTGCCAGGAAGGGCACAAAATACAAGGGAGGGGAAAGACAGTGCAAAAACAGAAATAGGGGTATCCAGCAGCAAGTTGCTAAAAGTTGGGGAAAAACAAAGTCTTTCCCCTGGGCTGTGTATAGTTGCAGCAATATTAACACTGGTGGTAGGTTGCCACTGCTATTCCAGCACATGGAGCCCATTCAGGAGTTGAAATCTCCTTTAGGTGAAGGCTTGAATAACCTGTTCTGTTTTGCTGCTGTCTTATACAGGCTGTATTATTAATGGAAAACTGTATCCCTTTGGATTCATTGAGAGGACAGAAGATTGCTACGCATGCAGCTGTGGCGAAGATGGAATGGAATGCTGTTCCCTGTAAGTTTGAACTTCTTGGTATCATCATTGCCTGTAGGATGACCACAGCTTTCCATTGCTGGGAATAAAGGGGATTATAAGGGCACAAGAGAGCCTTTTCTCACCCATGTCACAGAGCTAGTGAAAGCCACATGCAGCTGTCGATTGTTTGCATCCTTAGCTGTGTTTGCCTTTCCTCATTTTCTGCTGACTGGGAGTGGACACAAATCCTTCCAGGCACATCCAGTTGGTGCTTGTCTTTAATTTTTAAAGGAACTTGTGAACCCCTCTTCCACTTCAGTTGTCTTTCATTAGCTGTGAAAGTGGGGGTAGGTGACTTAAGTGAGGTTTCCCTAAGAAGAGTCTGGTGATCTGAATCCCTTTCCTGAAGTGCTTTTTCCCAGTGAATATGCTAAACATACAATGACAAGGCTCTGCTCTGAAGTATTTCTCCAGCCCTCTCCTTTCCTTCTCCTGCTTTCTCAAAAGCCCACTGATGATCTTTGTCTTTATTCAGAGGGAGTAGTCTATCAGGGAGCAGCCACCAAATCCTATGCAAAGTATAAGTAATGAAAAATTAAAGGAAAAAAGAGAAAAGTTCCCAAGCCCATGCTTATGTCACTGCAGAGTGCTGTGCTACAAGTGCCTTTGCTAGTGCTGAGCATCCTGGAACATCTTCAGAGTGCAGTGCACAGGGCATCATTTGAGGCTCTGGAAGCTGCAGCTGTGTGGTGCTCAGCAAGCTCAGCTGCCCTTAGGCATGGTTTGACCTGTCTCATTGAGCAGTACTTCAAGCTATAATCACTGAAGTATTGAAACTTTTATTGCTCTCAAACTAAAATCTGCTTTCTCTTTGCCTCTGACAGCTTCCACACTCCTGTTGCTTACGACAAAAAGAAATGTAAAGTTGTCTTCAACAAGAAGCGCTGTGACTATGATGTGGTGCAGAAGAACGACCCCTCAAAGACATGTTTTGTCTATTCTCGTGTGGGCTAACCCCCGCTCCAAACCTCTCTGCAATGTGGAATTCCTCTGCTTCCTACAGGTGTTAGCCATCACAGAGAAGCACGATGGTATGGGAAAATCTCGTAAGAGAGCACTTCAGTAGCTGCCTCCTAAGTGTTGAATTTCAGCTTATCAGATGCATAATCAGATAGAGTACCTCATTTCTGTCATGATTGCATTTATTGGCTACAATAAACTGAGATGAAACATCCATAAATGCTCCATATTGATGTTTTGTTTTTTGCAGTGACATGGGGAAATGCCACCTTATTTGACAAAGAAATGCATTTGGCTCTCTACTCTGACATGCTGTGCACCGTTACCCTGGCACAAGCCACTCTCATGGTTTTCAGGTTCTCTTTTAGCCAGGTGCCAAAATCCATTATCATTTGGAAGTAATGCACTATTTGGGACATGCTCTACCATGGCTCCTATTCAGCGTGCACAGCCTTTTGGTAAGGCTTGTGCTGCTAACACCTCAGAAAAGTGACTGAGAATGAGAGATCATCATCCCCTTTCTCCCCTTTTTCCCTTGTTTTCATCAACATCATCCCCCATCACTGGCAGTGACTGCTCATGTGCATTGCCCACTGTGACCAGACTTGAAGTTGAAAGCAATGTTAAACTTTAAACTCTGGTACTCTGACTTGTCCTCTGCCAAGCCCTGATCCTGAATGCCTGCACACACTGTGCTGCTTTAGTGGTTCTTGTCCACTTTGAGAAAGAGATCTAGATCAGCCCCTGGAGACTGCTTGCTCATGGCAGCCGAGCTGGAGCTACTGACAATGCAGATGCCTTCTGTCTCTGCAGTACTGCAACTCCCCACATTCACAGGGGAATGAAGCTCAGCTTCAAAGCAGGGCTTGGAAATCAGATCTCCCACCTGGCAAAATCCATAGGGTCCTAAATCTGCCCAAATATCTGACCAGACAACAAAACCCTGTTACACGTTTCCTCTGCATGGAGGCCTCCACGTCAGAATTGGATATTAAAAAGCCACAACAGTCTGTAGTTAACTGTTCCATGGTTTGATAAGAAAGACACCTTCCAAAACAAGTGGATTGTTCAGTGAAGTTCCATGATCACAACAAATCTGCTGTCTTGTAATAGTATGAGGTTACACACAGCTGAGCATTCTTAGTGCAGGGATCCTCATTTGGCCCCAAAACAAGAGTCAATCTACATTTATCCAGCAGGGGTATTTCCTTCACAGACAATCAATCACAAGACAATCTGTCTCTGTGAGCCATTATTAGAATCAGAAAGGTTTACTGGGATGTATTGTGTCTGGCTTTGGTGATTTGCTTATGAACTTTTTTTAAAGGTTTCTAAGATCTGCGAGTAACATACCTTGGATTGGGGAAAAAAATCCAAGTATTTTGCAGGCACTGGTATTACATACTTCACCTTTTTAAGTTGTCTGTGCTGCAGGCTGGGTATCAGCCTGCATAGCTCTGTGTTGCTGTACAGCTGGTTCCTGTAAAGATGAGAAATGTGAGAGGCCAGACTGAAGAGTCAGCTCAGCTTTTCCCAGTATAGACATTCACATGTGCCTTCTTAAAATCTTGACACCCATTCACTGATTCCATCCCATCATTCCTCTAAGTGGAGCATGTGAAAAATAAGATTTGCATGTTGCTTAACATTCTAAAGTAAGTCTTGCCCAAAAGGGTTTTGTGTCCTGCAGGAGAGGAACAGTTTTGAAAATTTGTCCTGAATGACGTTTCTGGTTTTATGCTACTTCATGTCAAAATTAGAGAGAACAAAGCCTCAGCTGATGCACCTGAAGGAAAGTTCTTGCTTAGAGAAAAAACAGCCACAGCTTCTAAGGGAAGTTGTATTTTGAGCATGGAGGTCATAGACTTCCTACCTAAGTAGCTCACAGAACTGCATCAAGAGAAAATATGGTTTTCAGAATTTAGGCATTTATTAAATTTTTTTTTTGTATAAATCAAGAATTTAATGAAATAAAAAACTTGGGATTTTCCTGAGAGATTACTTTTTAGTGTGAAGCAATGAGAAGTGCAGACATCAAAATTAATATCCAGCTTGTTGTAGCCTGGAACTGTGCCATGTGACATTGAAGTATTTCAGAATTCCAAATATTTTTCCTAGCAAAGCCTCACAAATAAGGAGAATAAATATTTCTTCTAAAATATATGAAAATGAGTTTATTACCTTATAACTTATTTTGGTGGAGAAGAAGGAGAATTCTTGTAATGGGATCCAGCTTCAGCTGAGGTCTCAGTGTTCAGAGGTTTTGATCCTGGTAGAGGCCAAGCACCTTTGTTATCTTTCAGTGCACACCCCAGCACTCACAGTGAGGATGCAAAGATCTGGCAGAAGCTCCATTTGCTATTAACACCAAATGCACCACTCAGCATGTTCCAGCCCTCTGATAGCAGGCAGGATTTGGCATGCATTTCTGCCCCACCTAAAAATCACCTGGCTGGATAATGCTGTCTACAGCTTAGCTATCAATATTTGTTTCCCATCAGAAGGGCATTTTTTCCTAATCATAATTCTTCCGAGGAATTCAAAGTCATGGAGTCAGCAATTTACCCAGGCCGGTGCTCTACAAAACCAAACATTTTCTCATTGCCAGCTGGAAAAATTTCAGAGATTTCTTTGGATGTTACAAAATACCTGCATTTGCATGGAGCAGGCTTTTTCCCCTCCACCTAGACTTGAATTGCACAACATAAAGGCAGCATAAAGCATTTGCTCTCTGATTCCACATAAAGAACTTCAGCTTTCTCAGGAAACCTAGAGCTCTTTGGAAGCCAGGCATTCCACAATGGTAAGCCAAAGGTTTAGATTGGTTTGAGTGTTTTTGTAATGGGGATACAGATAGGTATTTGCTTTAAAACTGCAAAGGAGAGCATTTAAGAGAACCATCTAGTTAGACATTTTAAATGTGGCTATATTGTATTTCAGACCTGTAAGATGCAAAGACAGGAAGACACCTCTTTGAAGATTACTGTGAATTTTGCTCTTTGCATTGGAATTATTTGCAGGAAGCTGTACAGTCTTTCTTTGCTGCTATTCTTTCCTCAGTAATGTTTGTGAAAATATTCAGAGTTTTGCAAACATTTAGGACCATTCTTTTAAAACTTATAAATGTGAAGCACAGTCTAAAATATTGTCCTTTGGCAAAGAAAAAAAGTCTGTATATATTGTCTGTGTATTTTTTCTGTTCTTCATTTTGATCCCTCAAATTGTGTCCTGTTCCAGCTCTTCAAGCCTCCAAAGGTGTCTGCAGAATCTAAATCAACAGTTAGGGAATGATAAATAGACCAACAAAGTCCTATGGCCTGGTTCTCCTGTGATTTGTGCTCACATAATCCCAAAGGTACAGACATCAAGAAGTGCCTTTGATGAGCATCTCAGGAATGGCATAGGTTCTACAGAGGAAGCAGCAGTGTCTGTAATATATGTTGATTCATACAGAGGGGAGAAATTACCATTTGCATCTTTCTCTCTCCAGAAGAGCTTTCTGGCTTTCCTTGTTGCAGTGGGCACCATGGTGACCCTGGCTGATGCATACTGCTATGTGGAGCTTCAGGTTCCAGGGAGGCCCTACAGAGGTAGAAACAAGGGAGATCCTCTGACCTGATTGCTCTGTGGTAACTTGGCTCTCTGTGGAACTGCCAGAAAGGGTTCCAAATACAAGGGAGGGGGAAGGCATTGGGAAAACACAAGCAGGGGACTCCAGCAGCAAGTTGATAAAAGTAGGGGAAAACCAATCTTCCCCTGGGCTGCGTGTGGTTGCAGCAATATTCCTGCAACTGGTGGTAGTAGGCCACTGCTATTCCTGCACATGGACCTCACTCAGGAGTTGAAAGTAAAACCCAATTCCTGGTGTTTCACTATTGCCTGGAATTACAATTTTAGAATAGCTGAAATAATTTTTAAACTCTTCTACATTTAGGTGTAGGCTTAAAGAACCTGTTCTGTTTTGCTGCTGTCTTATGCAGGCTGTGTGAGGAATGGAAAACTGTATCCCTTTGGATACATTGCGAGGACAGAAGATTGCTACCAGTGCTATTGCTGGCAAGGTGCAATGCAATGCTGTTCCCTGTACGTTTGAACTTCTTGGTACCATCATTGCCTATAGGATGACCACAGCTTTCCATTGCTGGGGATAAATGGGTTTGTAAGGGCACAAAAGAGGCTTTATTCACCCATACAGAGCTAGTGAAAGCTCTCAAGCTAATAGGTTTTTTCTCTTTTGTCTTTGCCACTAACAGCATTCATACTATCGTCTCTTACGACAAAGAGAATTGTAAAGTTCTTTTCAACAAGAAGCACTGTCGCAATGATGTGGTGCAGAGGGATGACCCCTCACAGCCATGCTCCTCTGGCTATTCTTCTGTGGGCTAACACCTGATCCAATCCCCGCTGCACTGTGGAATTCCTCTGCTTCCTACAGGTGTTAGCCATCACAGAGAAGCACGATGATATGGGAAAATCTCATAAGAGAGCACTTCAGTAGCTGCCTCCTAAGTGTTGAATTTCAGCTTATCAGATGCATAATCAGATAGAGTACCTCATTTCTGTCATGATTGCATTTATTGGCTACAATAAACTGAGATGAAACATCCATAAATGCTCCATATTGATGTTTTGTTTTTTGCAGTGACATGGGGAAATGCCACCTTATTTGACAAAGAAATGCATTTGGCTCTCTACTCTGACATGCTGTGCACCGTTACCCTGGCACAAGCCACTCTCATGGTTTTCAGGTTCTCTTTTAGCCAGGTGCCAAAATCCATTATCATTTGGAAGTAATGCACTATTTGGGACATGCTCTACCATGGCTCCTATTCAGCGTGCACAGCCTTTTGGTAAGGCCTGTGCTGCTAACACCTCAGAAAAGTGACTGAGAATGAGAGATCATCATCCCCTTTCTCCCCTTTTTCCCTTGTTTTCATCAACATCATCCCCCATCACTGGCAGTGACTGCTCATGTGCATTGCCCACTGTGACCAGACTTGAAGTTGAAAGCAATGTTAAACTTTAAACTCTGGTACTCTGACTTGTCCTCTGCCAAGCCCTGATCCTGAATGCCTGCACACACTGTGCTGCTTTAGTGGTTCTTGTCCACTTTGAGAAAGAGATCTAGATCAGCCCCTGGAGACTGCTTGCTCATGGCAGCCGAGCTGGAGCTACTGACAATGCAGATGCCTTCTGTCTCTGCAGTACTGCAACTCCCCACATTCACAGGGGAATGAAGCTCAGCTTCAAAGCAGGGCTTGGAAATCAGATCTCCCACCTGGCAAAATCCATAGGGTCCTAAATCTGCCCAAATATCTGACCAGACAACAAAACCCTGTTACACGTTTCCTCTGCATGGAGGCCTCCACGTCAGAATTGGATATTAAAAAGCCACAACAGTCTGTAGTTAACTGTTCCATGGTTTGATAAGAAAGACACCTTCCAAAACAAGTGGATTGTTCAGTGAAGTTCCATGATCACAACAAATCTGCTGTCTTGTAATAGTATGAGGTTACACACAGCTGAGCATTCTTAGTGCAGGGATCCTCATTTGGCCCCAAAACAAGAGTCAATCTACATTTATCCAGCAGGGGTATTTCCTTCACAGACAATCAATCACAAGACAATCTGTCTCTGTGAGCCATTATTAGAATCAGAAAGGTTTACTGGGATGTATTGTGTCTGGCTTTGGTGATTTGCTTATGAACTTTTTTTAAAGGTTTCTAAGATCTGCGAGTAACATACCTTGGATTGGGGAAAAAAATCCAAGTATTTTGCAGGCACTGGTATTACATACTTCACCTTTTTAAGTTGTCTGTGCTGCAGGCTGGGTATCAGCCTGCATAGCTCTGTGTTGCTGTACAGCTGGTTCCTGTAAAGATGAGAAATGTGAGAGGCCAGACTGAAGAGTCAGCTCAGCTTTTCCCAGTATAGACATTCACATGTGCCTTCTTAAAATCTTGACACCCATTCACTGATTCCATCCCATCATTCCTCTAAGTGGAGCATGTGAAAAATAAGATTTGCATGTTGCTTAACATTCTAAAGTAAGTCTTGCCCAAAAGGGTTTTGTGTCCTGCAGGAGAGGAACAGTTTTGAAAATTTGTCCTGAATGACGTTTCTGGTTTTATGCTACTTCATGTCAAAATTAGAGAGAACACAGCCTCAGCTGATGCACCTGAAGGAAAGTTCTTGCTTAGAGAAAAAACAGCCACAGCTTCTAAGGGAAGTTGTATTTTGAGCATGGAGGTCATAGACTTCCTACCTAAGTAGCTCACAGAACTGCATCAAGAGAAAATATGGTTTTCAGAATTTAGGCATTTATTAAAATTTTTTTTTGTATAAATGAAGAATTTAATGAAATAAAAAACTTGAGATTTTCCTAAAAGATTACTTTTTAGTGTGAAGCAATGAGAAGTGCAGACATCAAAATTAATATCCAGCTTGTTGTAGCCTGGAACTGTGCCATGTGACAGTGAAGTATTTCAGAATTCCAAATATTTTTCCTAGCAAAGCCTCACAAATAAGGAGAGAAAATATTTCTCCTAAAATCTATGAAAATGAGTTTATTACCTTATAACTTATTTTGGTGGAGAAGAAGGAGAATTCTTGTAATGGGATCCAGCTTCAGCTGAGGTCTCAGTGTTCAGAGGTTTTGATCCTGGTAGAGGCCAAGCACCTTTGTTATCTTTCAGTGCACACCCCAGCACTCACAGTGAGGATGCAAAGATCTGGCAGAAGCTCCATTTGCTATTAACACCAAATGCACCACTCAGCATGTTCCAGCCCTCTGATAGCAGGCAGGATTTGGCATGCATTTCTGCCCCACCTAAAAATCACCTGGCTAGATAATGCTGTCTACAGCTTAGCTATCAATATTTGTTTCCCATCAGAAGGGCATTTTTTCCTAATCATAATTCTTCCGAGGAATTCAAAGTCATGGAGTCAGCAATTTACCCAGGTCGGTGCTCTACAAAACCAAACATTTTCTCATTGCCAGCTGGAAAAATTTCAGAGATTTCTTTGGATGTTACAAAATACCTGCATTTGCATGGAGCAGGCTTTTTCCCCTCCACCTAGACTTGAATTGCACAACATAAAGGCAGCATAAAGTATTTGCTCTCTGATTCCACATAAAGAACTTCAGCTTTCTCAGGAAACCTAGAGCTCTTTGGAAGCCAGGCATTCCACAATGGTAAGCCAAAGGTTTAGATTGGTTTGAGTGTTTTTGTAATGGGGATACAGATAGGTATTTGCTTTAAAACTGCAAAGGAGAGCATTTAAGAGAACCATCTAGTTAGACATTTTAAATGTGGCTATATTGTATTTCAGACCTGTAAGATGCAAAGACAGGAAGACACCTCTTTGAAGATTACTGTGAATTTTGCTCTTTGCATTGGAATTATTTGCAGGAAGCTGTACAGTCTTTCTTTGCTGCTATTCTTTCCTCAGTAATGTTTGTGAAAATATTCAGCGTTTTGCAAACATTCAGGACCATTCTTTTAAAACTTATAAATGTGAAGCACAGTCTAAAATATTGTTGTTTTGCAAAGAAAAAAGTCTGTATATATTGTCTGTGTATTTTTTCTGTTCTTCATTTTGATCCCTCAAATTGTGTCCTGTTCCAGCTCTTCAAGCCTCCAAAGGTGTCTGCAGAATCTAAATCAACAGTTAGGGAATGATAAATAGACCAACAAAGTCCTATGGCCTGGTTCTCCTGTGATTTGTGCTCACATAATCCCAAAGGTACAGACATCAAGAAGTGCCTTTGATGAGCATCTCAGGAATGGCATAGGTTCTACAGAGGAAGCAGCAGTGTCTGTAATATATGTTGATTCATACAGAGGGGAGAAATTACCATTTGCATCTTTCTCTCTCCAGAAGAGCTTTCTGGCTTTCCTTGTTGCAGTGGGCACCATGGTGACCCTGGCTGATGCAGTCTGCGTTACTTCACTTCAGGTTCCAGGGAGGCCCTTCAGAGGTAGAAACAAGGGAGATCCTCTGACCTGATTGCTCTGTGGTAACTTGGCTCTCTGTGGAACTGCCAGGAAGGGTTCCAAATACAAGGGAGGGGGAAGGCATTGGAAAAACACAAGCAGGGGAGTCCAGCAGCAAGATGCTAAAAGTAGGAGAAAAACAAAATCTTCCCCTGGGCTGCCTGTGGTTGCAGCAATATTCCTGCAACTGGTTGAAGCTTGCCACTGCTATTCCTGCACATGGAGCTCACTCAGGAGTTGACATCTCTTTTAGGTGAAGGCTTAAAGAACCTGTTCTGTTTTGCTGCTGTCTTATGCAGGGTGTGTGTGGAATGGAAAACTGTATCCCTTTGGACACATTGAGAGGACAGAAGATTGCTACAAATGCGACTGTCACGAACGTGCAATGCAATGCTGTACCATGTGAGTTGGAACTTCTTGGTATCATCATTGCCTGTAGGATGACCACAGCTTTCCATTGCTGGGAATAAAGGGGATTATAAGGGCACAAGAGAGCCTTTTCTCACCCATGTCACAGAGCTTGTGAAAGCCACATGCAGCTGTCGATTGTTTGCATCCTTAGCTGTGTTTGCCTTTCCTCATTTTCTGCTGACTGGGAGTGGACACAAATCCTTCCAGGCACATTCAGTTGGTGCTTGTCTTTAATTTTTAAAGGAACTTGTGAACCCCTCTTCCACTTCAGTTGTCTTTCATTAGCTGTGAAAGTGGGGGTAGGTGACTTAAGTGAGGTTTCCCTAAGAAGAGTCTGGTGATCTGAATCCCTTTCCTGAAGTGCTTTTTCCCAGTGAATATGCTAAACATACAATGACAAGGCTCTGCTCTGAAGTATTTCTCCAGCCCTCTCCTTTCCTTCTCCTGCTTTCTCAAAAGCCCACAATACCTCAATGATGATCTTTCTCTTTATTCAGGTGGCACAGTCTATCAGGGAGCAGCCACCAAATTGTATGCAAAGTGGAAATAATAAAAAATTAAAGGAAAAAAGGAAAGATGCCAAGCCCTTGCTTATGTCACTGCAGAGTGCTGTGCTGAGCATCCTGGAACATCTTCACAGTGCAGTGCACAGGGCATCATTTGAGGCTCTGTGCAGCTGTGTGGTACTCAGCAAGCTCAGCTGCCCTTAGGCACGGTTTGACCTGTCTCACTGAGCAGTATTTCAAGCTATAATGACTGAAGTATTGAATCTTTTATTGCTCTCAAGCTAACATTTGCTTTCTCTTTGTCTCCGACAGCTATTTCATTCCTGGTTCTTATGACAAAGAGAAATGTAAAGTTGTTTTCAACAAGAAGCGCTGTCGCTATTATGTCCTGCAGAGGGATGACCCCTCACAGCCATGTTTATCTGGTTTTTCTGGAGTGTTGTAACCCCTGCTCTAAACCTCTCTGCAATGT